TGGAAGAAGACAGATACAAAAGAGCATAGATTGTATGTTTCTAGTTATATAAGTACAAAACAAGGAAAGTTGATCAATTCCATTTATTAGTCAGGACAGTGGTTACCTTGGGTCGGGGGTGGGAGTTATGACTGGAAGAGAGCCACAAGGGGGGATGCTGAGAAACCGTGTTCTCTTTATTAATCTGGGTGCTAGTTCCACAAGTGGATTAGTGTGTAAAATTTATCACGTTATCTATATATATAAAAGCCCAGCGACTGAACGGTGGAAAGACCAGAACGACTGGTTGACCAGTCGCTATGACGCACACTGACCACCAGGGGGAAAACGCTCAATGCAGGAGCTGCCCCCTGATGGTCAGTGTGCTCCCACAGTGGGAGCACTGCTTGGCTGACCGGGATGAGCGGCTGCTCCCACAGTGGGCGATCCCCACAGGCCATGCCCCCCACCAGCGCACGAATCCGTGCACCAGGCCTCTAGTACATTTATAATAAGGGTGCACATTTTGTATTTGTATTATACTTCAATTAAATTTTTTTTTTATTTATCAGCACCACTTCTAGAACTACAGCTTCCCTTTTTTGGACAACACTATAGATCTACTGACCAACTACCACCAACCATGCTTCTCCAATGGGGTGTTCATTATCAGTACTAATGCTTCTAGCATGACATTATCTGAAATAGTCATGTCCAGCATCACAACTATTTTACCTTAGCCTCTCATGCTCTCTGGATGTCTTTCAGATGAAGCATAATGGGAACACTCTAATCCCATTCACAAAAGTTCTTAGAAATAATGTTTTAGACCGGGCTACTTCTGGAGAGAGTGCCCTCGACTGGAGGAAGATCATAAACCAAACCCAAGGCCGCCTAATGGCACCAGCGGCCCACGACGCCAAGGCCAGAGTTCCCCACACCCTTGCATGTAGACAAAGATGTGTCCCGTGGCCATTGCGGTTCTGTTTACTTTGTCTCCATGTTGATGAGTGGGGACAAGCATTGTGTGCTCAGCCTACCAGCCAACATCTGGCTCCTCTGGCTTGTCGATTAAAAGCAGCGCTTATCTTGTGAACTCCGTCCTACCCGGTAACAGTTGCCAGGCCAGAGGGACTTTGTTTAAACAACGTGCAGAACCGTCACTAATGAGAACTCCCCCCCCCCCCCGCAATGAAGACTTTCATTACTTTTTGCCTTGACCTTCGAAAGGAGAGTCACTTCTCTGAGTACTATGTGTAATTGTTTCTAATAACTATAGTAGCTTATTATTTTAGGCCTAGATGGCTTTGGTTCAGTTGATTTACATAAGATTTATCGCACCCATTTTCAAAAGAAACAGGAAAATATTCATGGACTTCATAAGAAGCACCTTTTGGGGAAAATTCTGGCTTTATTACAACTTCAATGAAGATAGTCAGCGTACAAAATCTCCCAGTGTTCAGTGTGTAACAACAACATGAGAAAACTACGCTGTGATGGAAATTGTGAAACATCCCTCTTTAAACCGTCCTCTTCATGACAATCACACTTCCCGGGGGAGGTTTTCTGACACAGTTATGAACTCGCTAACCCACTTTCTGAAATCCAGGTGCAACTGCATTATGTTTCCTTTCGTTAATTCAAGTTGTGGCGCATCGAGGCGCTGTTAGTCCCCTCTGCCCCCAGTATTGCCACCAACACGATGTATCACGTAGGAGCTAGAGAACGGATGCCCTGGCAAGGTGGGGACTTTTCAGCCCGCTCGGTCCCAGATGAAAGTGCACGGAGGAAGGCCATGCTCTTTTTATTTTTATTTTTGTTTTATTTTATTTTTGGCCATTCTCTTTTTAGAAGAGGCATACTGATTAGGAGACTGTAACCTGGCTGTCCTGAAGCAGCAATGGGTTTGGGGAACACATAGCATCCCACAAGCGTATGACCTCCCACTCCAGCAGAAACTAATAAAGCCTTTTTCCCTGGCAACAGAACATGGACTTGACCGGAAGTAGTGTATCGGTTTCCTATTTCTACTGCACAAACTACCACAAAGGTAATGGCTTCAACACACACACACACACATACACACGTTACATTGCAGTTCTGGGGGGTCAGAGGCTACAGTCACTTTCACTGCACCGAAAAGTCCTGGTATCATCAGGCCGCCTTCTCTGGAGGCCCGAGGGGAGAATCCACATCCTTGTCTGCTCCAGCTTCCACAGGCCGCCTCTCCTCCCGGGCTGGTGACTCATTCTTCCAGGCACAGCCTGACTCCAGGTCTACCTGGAACGCTGGACCCAGGGGGCCTCGGCCGCCTGGGAACTTCATCACCAGGCTGGTTCCTCTCACGGTAGCAAGCTGGCTGCACAACCCCATCTCCCTTGCATCCTTCTTACCCTAAGCCCATAGGCAGAGGGAACACCTCCTTCTGCTGAAGCCCCGGCAAAGTTTCCTGAGGTCCCGTTGGTTTAAATTAGTTGATGGCTGGGATAGAGTGGCTCATTGGCTTAGGCCTCCATCAATCAGGGACCTAGCCCTACAGATGGAAGTGGAGTCCATCCCACACCAGCAGCGTGGCCGAACCCCAGGGAGGGTGTAGTCAGGTGCTGCGTGTGTCGTAGAGATGATGAAAAATCAGAGGAGGTCCAGAAAACGTAGAGTATGAGCCCACCACTTCCACTTTTCCAGGAACCCAGAAAGAGACCTGGAGCCATAGAGTAGTGAGCAAAACTGCCTCTAGCTCAGGAAGTGGGGGTTTAAAGCAAACACCTCTAATGGCCAGTCCTGGCCAGCCTCACCATCTTTCTGGCTGCTGACAGGATTGTTCCTGGATTCTTTTCCTCTCTAAACCCGAAGCAGCCGGGGCTGGTAGACACTTCTCCTTGGGGTAGCCTCCAGGTTAAATCTACTCCAAGGCTGTTTGCATATACATTGTGCAAGAGCCGGTATGTCTCCGAGACACTGTTGCCATGAGAACTCTAAGGAAGATGAGGGATGTCATCACATCATCTCCCGGGAACAACAGGAGCTCAGCTTGGCTGCTCTGTGGATAGACTCAGCTAATTTTTTTTAATAAGTAAGGGCTCCTTCAATGTTCAGGCTTTGTTTTCCCTTCCTTAGTCCATGTACCCCAAATCTCCATTCATATGTCCCCCCAACCTATCCCACAGAGGAGCTGCTTTTACCAACAGGCTTCAATCTGAAATAAGATTCATTTCATTTCATTTCTTAATTTTTCCAAAAGAGAAAAGAGACGTGCATATGTCCATCACTGATTTTTAAAAAGCATTAATTATTTGCCATATTTATTTTAGTTTTTGTTTGTTCGATACTATTTTTTAGAACGATGACAGTTTATATATAGCTAAGTAAACCCTAATTCTCACTGTCTTCCTTCTTCTCCTCTAAAAATAACCACTACCTGAAGTTGGTGCATATCATTTCCATCCTTTTTTTTTTAATTTCTGGGATTTGGTAACATTTTTCTCTATGTGTATATGTCCAGATGCAAGATATACTATGGTTCAATCCTAATATGGGTAGGATCCCAGCAAGAAGCTGATGACACACTCAACAGGGTAATGAGAGCAAGGGAATGAAGGAACTTTACAGAGGTATGGGCAGTTTCAAAGAACAAGAGATGGCGCTCTGGCCATTGTGGCTCAGTGGCTAGAGCACCAGCCCACACACCTAAGGGTCACGGGTTCAATTCCAGTCAAGGGCATGTGCCTGGGTTACAGGTTTGATCCCTGGGCCCCTGTCAGGGCATGTGTGGAAGGCAACCAATTGAAGTTTCTCTCTCTCCCCCTGTCTCTCTCCCCATCTCTCATTTCCACTCTCTGAAAAGCAATGGAAAGAATATCCTCATATAAGATTAAGAAGGAAGGAAGGAAGGAAGGAAGGAAGGAAGGAAGGAAGGAAGGAAGGAAGGGAGGAAGGAAGGAAAAGAGGAAGGAAAAGACATGGCTAAATAAATACCATATAATTCACACATTGAATGTGTGTAATTCTATTGTATTTATATGTGCATCTATCACCACAACCACTTTTAGAACATTTTTTATCCCAAAACAAATCTCCTACTTCTTAGAAATCACCCCAATACCCTTTCTTTTTCAAATCTTTTGGTCACTTGCTATAACACCACAAAAACTAACATTGCTATCTAATTTATACAATTCCTTAACTTACACAATATACAATATTCTTCTAAATTCTGACTACAAAATATAAAGAACTAAACCAGATATATTATGGTAACCTATTAAATGTACTGGTAACATTCATGTTCTTCCCTTATTTATAACCCTGGTGGTCGAACTCCTGAGGGGGCAATTTGCATATTAGCCTTTTATTATATAGGATGAAACAGCAGTCTTTTTTACTTTATTAAGATGTTCAGTTTATGCAAGTAAAGAAACTGACTCTTGGTAACACTATAGCTCAAGAGAATGTTTTCCATGAACACCTATTTTAAGAAGCCAGGATGCTTTCCAGGAAGAGAGTATATGAGGGTAAAAAATGAAACCAGCCAAGCTGTCAAAGGTTTCAAGAGACAACATGTGCTTTAGAGCTAATGTAGAAGCTTGATTTTTATTGTCAATATGTGCGATTGGATGTATTACCTTATGGGTCTTCTGTACTGATTGTTATGGGGAAACAATGAAGAAAGCAACATGCATATGGATTTCTCTATTTGTTGATGGCCAGAAGAGAAACAATTCTACTTGGTAATATAATCTCATCAAATAATGTTTTATGACGATTTAGCCTTTTCCCATCGAATAATTGTTTCACCAAGATATCCAAATGATCCCTTAATCTCAATTTGAATGTTTATAGTGGAATATATATTTATATTCTGTAGGGGGCTACCACAATTGTAGCAAGGTACCATCTGTGTCCAAATATAATTAAGAAATATCTATAAAGAAATCATGGAACTATAGCAATAAAGAAACAGATCCTGAGAAATAAGATTTATAAATTGATTGTTTAGCATTCAATGTCTGGATGAAATGTTATTTTAATTTCCACTTTTTACACCACCTGAAATTTCCTACATTTTGGAGATACATCCTTGTTGTACGGTTCACCTGTAGCTTATCTCAGAGCCTTGTGTTTTGAAGGGCTGGGTTCATTCTTTATTACTATAACAAGGAGAAATATTATTACTTTCAGGAATACTTATCGGAATACATCTCTTACATTTAACTTAACGTTCTTTAAGATATGTATTATGTGCATGTTTCTTTATGTGGTTTTAAGAGACAGACATGATCTTTCCCATTCCACATATCCTATAGGCAGGATGACCATATAGTCTTGAGTTCCTGCAACATTTCCAGTTTGTGCTTTTTGTCTTGGTGCCCTTTTACTCTCTAAGTGCTCTGGTTTAAATAATAAACATAAGAAGGGAAAACAATCAATAAATTTGAAAACAGAAAATACGTATAGGCTACTAGGTTATTATTTTTTAGTGAGTTTAATTAGTTTGTCTCTCATAATGACTTTATCTAAGTTGTCAATTTATGTACATGGAGTTGTTTATAGTCTTTCCTCATTATCCTTTTAATCTCTATAATTTTTGTCTTCTCTCTTTTTTTCTTGGCCAGCCTAGTCAACAGTTTATGAGTTTTATTGATTTTCATTCGAAGAACTAGCTTTTGGTTTCATTGAAGAGAGAGAGACTCAAGTCCAAATAACAATCTGCCACTTACTAGCTGTATGGCTCTAGGCAAATTACTTAACTTCTCCAAATCTTGGTGGTCTCAATGATAAAATGGGAATATAAGCACTACATCTTCAGGTTACAGCTAGGATCAAGTGAGGCAATAGGTCACACAGATTCAAAAGATGATATACACTGTTATTACTACTCAATCAGAAATATCAGACAGCTGAACTGTGTGAGACACTTGAAAGAGAACACTAATGTTTCTTCCTTATTATGTATTATCCTATTAAGACCAAAAGAATAATCTTAGGAATCCATGTGAAAAGATCTTGTTATTTGAATGGGGTCAACAATATAAAAATGTTTATCAATTGAAAATCAAGAGGGAAATCAGGAAAAAGCGGGCACTTAAAACAATAAAACAAACTTCTAATGTAATGAATTCTTGGGTATCCAGACTGGTCCTCTAGCAGATGAATTAGTTTACGGAAGACCATATTCTTTTCTCTAACGCTGTAAGTGCTTGAGTTAAGTGCTTATATGGTTTGCTGGATGGTAGGGAAAAAGAAAGGCACTAAATTTAATCAATACAGCTCCCTGACGGCTGCTTCATATGGAGATTGGAGGAGAAGGTGAAAACTCTCATTACCTCGAAGTGTTTGGATCATATGCCTCAGCTCTGCAGCTAAATCAGAGGTCACTGCAAGAGAAAACTACTCCCCCCACTTTTCATACCGAAAGCTTGGTTTGGCCCCTTCCTCTGCATAGTGTCTGCGGCGCTTCTCTCTCTCTCTCTCTCTCTCTCTCTCTCTCTCTCTCTCTCTCTCTCTCTCAGCGGAAGGGGCTCGCCGTTGGATGAACATGTCCCACAGCTGTGGTTTGATGGACATTCTCTCCCTCTCGCGTTGAGGCGCAGCTACCGCAGCAAATAGAATAACCAGATCGATGCAGTCAGGCCCTTGCTAAGCAAAGGAGGACCCATCCGGGATCTGACTGCATTCACTTGAGGGCTGAGGTTCTGCTCAGCTGCGCCCCAAGGATCGGCCTGGCGGTGGTAACAGGTGTTCTGTGCAGCTCATGAAAAGCAAAGCCGTGTGGTCTTTTCGCCGTAGAAAGCTCCGGGTTAAGTGCGAACCCCCAATCTGACAGCAGAACCAAGAAACGGCTGCAGCTTTATTTTCAATACTTTTTTTCGTGTCTTAGCTACTGACAGATTCAGAAATATCTGTTCACTTACAAGAAAGAGACAAAGATATAGTACTTATATTCCCATTTTACCCGGAAGAGACACAAGACAAGCGAGCAGATTCCATACGCTTTCCTCTCCATCTGGCCAGCACAGGCGAGGATGAAAAGGAGCTCGGTTTTTTTCCTTTAACGGGAAGAATGTGTGAACTCCGTATGTTTACCCATTTTTATGCTCATAAACTATATGTGTTCTTTTCTGTTCAGAAGTTGCCTGATCCTTTCGTCCTCCCCAAACGGAAAGCGTTTTCTGATCTCGGACTCTCACCTGCCACAGGGTGTCTGTTCGCCGAATCACCCAAACGCCGCGCGTTCGCGGGGACCGGACCACTAACTGCAGAAGGAGCCGAACCTGGGACTCCGGGAGGGGACGGGGGGGAAACTACATGTCCCGGCGTGCCCCGCGTGCGGGCACAATGCCGCCTTGTCGTCATCCGGGTCACGGGCTGCGCGTCCCGGGCGCGCCGCCGGATGCCGGATGCCGGTCTGGATCCCGCCCCGGGCGGAGGGCCCTCCTGGGCCGGGAAAACTACAGTTCCCGGCATGCCCTGCCGCGGGCGCGCCTGCCTATGGGACGGATCGCGCCGGGGAGCGGGTTGGTTTAAAACACGGATTTAGGTCTATGGAAACCGGCCCTCCTGCTGCGGGGCGGAGCCACAGGCGGACCGATGGACAGTGGGGTGAGGCTGGGGGCCCTGGCGGCTGAGCCGAGCGCGGGTGCGGGCCCGAGGGAGGGAGTCTGCGGCTCGGAGAGGCCGCCCCCGCCCCCTGTCCCCCTCGTGGGCCCCGTCCGGTCTTGTCTCCGGACCTCAGGACGCGGCTTCAAGGCGCCTTTGCATGGGAGGCCGGCGAGGCCGGTCGGAAGCGAAGGTCTTGCGTCGCCCCGGCGGCGGCTGACGGAGGGAGGCCCGGAGAAGCCTCAGTCCCGGCCTGACATTGGGGGAGGCTTCGGGCTCCGGGACAGCCATGGCGGTGCGGATGGAGCTGGTGGGGTCACCTGTCCTGCCCCCGGCCCGCCTGTGAGAACGCGGGTGCCAGGAATGGACATTCTTCCCAGCGGCCCCGGGACCTGCCCCGGGGTTTGCCTCCCCCCCCAGTGCCCCGTGCCCTGCGCGAGGCGCTGAAGATGGAGGAGGTGCAGCATCTGACCCTGTTCGGCTTGACCGCCCACACACTCCTCACGGCCCTGACTTGTCACCCTCGGTCCTCGAATCCTTCCTGTTCTCGGTTATCCAGTGAAGCGAAAATGTCTGGTGATGAGAGAGGCTGGAACTCTGACAGCCAAATCCTAGGTCCTGATGTGTCTGAACGTGGCAGAGAGGACAGGCTAGAGACTGTGATGCAGTAACAGACTACAGAGCAGCCTCAGTGGCTTATAAAACAACACTAGAGGCCCAGTGCACAGAATTCATGCATGTGGGGGGCGGTCCCCTCAGCCCAGCCTGCACCCTCTCCAATCCGGGACCCCTCGAGGATCAGGCCTAAACCCGTAGGCGGACATTCCTCTCACAATCCTGGACTGCTGGCTCCTAACCGCTCACCTGCCTGCCTGGTTCTGGTTGCCCCCATCTGCTCCCTCCCTGCCTGCCTGGTTGCTCCTAACGCCCCCCCCCCCACTGCCCCCTCTGCCAGCCTGGTCGCCCCTAACTGCCCCCCCTTCTGACCTGGTCACCCCTAACTGCCCCCTCTTCTGACCTGGTCACCCCCAACTGCCCCTCCTGCCAGCCTGGTCACCCCTCTTGCCCCCCCCCCACCTGCCAGCCTGGTCACCCCACACAGCCTGCTGTTCAGTCCCCTCACTAACCCCCTTGTGGGCCTGGTCGTAGGCAGCCATCTTGTGAGGGCGTGAGGGTTAATTTGCATATTCCCTCTTTATTATATAGGATAAGCTTTTGCTCAGTTGCACTGGATGTCATGGTTGTGCTTCATGTCATCTTCCCTCTGGGATCTGGCAGGCCCTGTCTGGGATGTTGCCCATCTCATGCAAAGGCGGGGAGGGCGGGGGAGAGATGGAGACAGTGAACAACAAGTTATCTCTTTAAGCTCCACCCACATTTCATTGGCCAAAACAGGACACATGACCACCTCTGAGCTCAACAGGACAGGGGCGTGCAGTGCCACCACAGGAAGGGGCGGCGGCTGTGTTGAAAAATAATAGAAGCTACTGCACTAACGTCCTGACTTTAATCTCAGGTGCATATAGAAGCTACGATAACCAGACCCGTTGTCTCTCCAACCCACATCAGTGCTACAGCTTCTGAAACAGTCACAGTCCTGGAGCAGAGGATGAGGATCGTTGAGGAACAGACCAGTTCTCTGAGGGATGACCTAATCATGTTGGACTTCGGTGCAAAAAGGTAACAAGTGAGGCATGAACTCGCTCGCTGCAGGCTGAAGAACTTCGCGTCACTGGTTATTAATACGGAGTCACAGGGTGCGCTGTTTGGCAGACGAAATAGGTGTTTACAAAAGAACTGAGAAAGAATAGCTTCCAGTTGCATCCTGTGAGAGAGCTACTACCACGATTCCCCTAAACAGATATTCGATATCCCGTTTACTGTCGACACCTGATTTAAAACCAACATGTAATTTTTTGTGTAATGAGAAAAAAGTTTGGTTCTTATTTTGTAAATCAAAAATTGGCTTTATTAGGTTAGGTGGACATCTAAACTTGATTCATGCCATTAAGATGGTCATTTTCTTTTCCCAGATTTATTGTAAATGAAAAGAGAGGTTTTAAGTCAAAATTTTATAATTTAGAATGAGGTACTCAAAAAAAATTGTGTTTTTTTTTCTCCCCTTGTTCTGCTAAAGAAGTTATTACCATTAAATGTTGGATTATCAATGGCCTGAGAAATCTAGATGCAAAACCAGCCAATATCCAATTTACTGGTATGATTTATTTAAAAGTGCACACAGGCATACCTTGTTTTATTGCACTTTGTTTTATTGCACTTCTTAAATAATGCATTTTTTTTTCAAATTGAAGGCTAGTCCCTCCACCAACAAAAGGATTACAGCTCACTTGATTGTAGTACTTGCTTTATTGTTGTGGTCTGCAACCAGACCTGCAGTATCTCTGAGGTGTGCCTCTATATTTCCCGTGTGCCTCTCATAAAGACCTAAATTAGTCTAGTTGGTATTATAGCACCCATAGAGTAAAAAACTCTTCAGCAGTTAAAGATTAAATGTTTATACATGTTGAGTAGGAAGGAACAGAAAAGGAGCGTTTATTCTAGCCTTGTTTAAATATTTTTTTAAAAATGTGAGTATATTCCTTCCATGCTAACTTTAATTCTTAGTTCACTGTTACAGAATTAGACTTTACCATGTTTTATGTATCACTGCTTTTTACATAGAAAAAGTTTATGACAAGTTCATATTGAAATAAGCAGCCATTAAAAAGTCAGTGATCTTTGCCCATCCCACACAGTTTTTACTTAATAGTGCTCTCTAAATTTAATCTTGGAGGGAATAACAGTTGCTTGTTAACTAAGTGTAATTTTTATTCTTAGTAGAAATAGTGCATTGACTCGCTGGTTGCGATCCCGGTCGTACCCATTGCATTGCATAATTTTGTTGTTTTGGGATCTTTGTCCAGAAACCAGTTTGAAACCCCAAAGTGTGTAGAAGCACCTGAGAACCAGAACATCACTAGCCCCATCCAGAGTGAAGTAACTTGTTCTGGAAAAACGGATATTTTATGGAAGAACTGTGAGTTTCTGGTGAATCGAATGTGCCACCTGGAAAGCCTCATCCAGTCCTTGAAGATGAATATCTTTTGTCTGCAAACGGAGAGGGACATGAATCCACAGAAAGCAGGTAGAGAGGAGGGCCGTCGGAGTGTGGTGCTGTGTGCGTGTTGATGAGTGGACGATGCTTCTCCTTCCCGAGCTTCCCGCTGCTCTCTGACCCTCCCGTGCCGTCTGGCAGCTTTTCTGAAGGACCGACTGAACACAATACAGGAGGAGCATTCCCAGGACCTGAAGCTGTTGCACCTGGAAGTGCTGAATTTGCGCCAGCAGCTAAGAGAAGTGAAAGAGGAGGAAGACAAGGCCCAGGACGAGGTGCAGAGGCTGACCGCCACGCTGGAGATGGCCTCAGAGACAAAGGTTTGGGTCGAGAGCTCTGAAACACACGCTCGCGGTAGGAGTTGGCTGGAGGAGGCCAAGGGCCCGTCAGACTGACTTTTAAAAATAGGTGGTGTTGATGTGAGGATTCTTGACATTTAAAATGTATCTACCTGGATAACTTAAACGAGGTATGCTATCAGTAATTGAGTATTTATAGAGCCCTTACACTGTGCATACGGCTGAGGGCCCAGCGATATGAGGTAGTCTGTGCTCTTTAAGGGCTTCTCTGCTACCTGGGAGATCAAGGCATCGCTTGAAAAATGAAATAGAGACAAAATAAAGGCGTAGAAATGTTAATGAGCGAATATTGAAGAGTTTTGTGTTGGATGGGTTTGAGAGGGTGCATATACCCTATCTTTTCCTCTAGAATAGGTCAGGGTAGGCTTCCAGAAAGAGGTTTTAGAAGACAAAGTGGTGAGGTGAGGGCATTTTGAATCGCACACACACAGGCAGCAAAGAATAAAGACAAGGAAAATAAACTAACAATTTTGTTTTCCCGCCACAGGCCAGGCAGTGTAATAGGTGTTGAACAGGTTATTTTGTTAATCCTCGCAGAACCTGTTGATGTAGGATATTATTGTCTCCATTTTAATGATTAGAGTACTGGGGGCCGAGAGAAGGCGCTTCTCCAAGATCATACTTCCCTGTCTTCTTCCCATGACCCAGGTTTGAACCTAGATCTTTCCACTGGGTGCAGTTAGGGGAAAATGCATAAACTAGCCTGACAGGAGTGAACATTTGTCTGTGGGAAATAAGTTGGAAGTTAGCTAAGGGTCACATTATAGTGCAGCGGTCGCCAACCTGTCGGACCTCACAGACCCCCAGTGCTCCGCGGACCGCCGGTTGGCGACCACTGTTATAGAGGGTCTCAAAATCAAGAATGAGTAGTCGGGCTTGATTGGAGGGGGTGATTAAAGTTTTGGATAAGGCAATGACGTAAGGAAAACTAATCTGGCAGAAGTGTGGGGCATTGATTACAGGGGAAGTCAGGAGAAGAGCTGGGAGGCCGGGAAAGACTTAGGAACGCATTGCATTATTGGAGGCGTGAGCCTTCCTAGTTCTGAGTCAGGGCCGTGGCATTTAAGAAGGGGATGTTCTGTGGAGATAGATGCGTTAGAATATGGTGCTGGATAGGGCCTGAAGGTAGGAAAGAGGACCAAGACGACTTCTGAGGTTTCACATACGTGCTGCCTTTAGTAATAATATAGAAGAGAATACATTGTGAAAGCTGTGTTTTTCATCCTGAACTCCTAAGCATGCGTCATCTTGAGCCTAGCAGAGTATAGTACTTAAAGAAGTAGGAATATGCTCTGTAAAAAAATTTCTATCAGTTCCCAGGCTCTCCTCCAGTTATTAAATCATACATAGGAAGTGAGTGTGACTAATCCCTTTTTATGATCTAGACGGAAAAATGATAGAAGTCATGAACCAAAGTAATAATCTCGTCGTAATGGCTTCAGACTCACAATGAGAAGTATTGATAACTGTATTCAGAATAGCATTTACAGGTTGTCAGACAGAAGTCTAGATAGTTACTCCTGGCCCCTGCAGATCACTTAGAACCCTTCCTTCGTCTACTTGTAGAAGAATGCAGCCGTTATGGAAGAGGAGCTGAAGACCACAAAGCGTAAAATGAACCTTAAAGTTCAGGAGGTAAGATAAAAAGATGCCGGAGGGTGCAGGGGGCATTGGAATTGCATGAGAAAAGTCAAGAAAGTAGAACGAACAGAAACCTTTGAAGAAGGAAATATGTGACTGTGTAATAGGAGGAGTTAAAAAATTTGTCACGTGACATTTAAGTGAAAGCGCCTGCCTTTTGGCATAAGACTTCCTTTTGCCTCGATACAGCCATAAACCGGAGCCCGGAGGGAAATGGTTACCGCAGAATCCATGCGGTTGCCCGTTACTAGAGTAACCGAGCACCATCATACAAAGACCTTTCAAACTGCAGTTGTGTTTAACGTAAAAAGCTTTTAGTCAGCCTGCTCATCTAATTTTACTGTGAAACCTCCATTTCAGCCTGAGTTTTAGGAGATAAAACTCTGTTGATTGGAAATTGTGAAGTAGGTGCCTGCTAAAAGTTGTTGGTCTAAAAATTGCAGCTGAAAATAGTCAGAATTACTCAGTATACACAGTGGCCTAAAAACCTCAATATTAATATGACTTCATAAAATCAATGGCATGTTGCAATTCCCAGTTTAAGCTGGAAAGAATCTTCTTACCTCCTGATAGAAGAGACTCTTAATTATTACGTTATCCATTATTTTAACTTAAAAATTCTTTTATCTCTGATTCACTTTACTGTCATTTATTGAGAAAATAAGGTAGTGGACCCCAATTCTTGAGTGTCAGTATTGTCTGCTATTGAAGTTACTTCAGTATTTGTTTAGACCTTTCAATCTCAGAACAGAATGAAATAAGCTTGCAGAAGTATGTTTATAATACTACGGGATAAAAATATGTAGATGAGGAAATCAAAACATAGGGAAATAAGATTTAAAAAGATATAGCCAGAAAGAAATACAGAAAATCCATATCCTAAAGTATGATATTAGTGTTTTTCAAACTTTTTCTCAACAGCCCATTCTAAGATACCTATTTACACTGCAACACTGCCCATGTGTAAATGTACGCAGACATTTATGAAGCGGTACTTACCGTTTCTTATTCTTTGCTGTGTGCTCTCATTCTTGCTTTGTATTCTTTGTTTTTCCTTTTCCAAGTGCTGCTTGCATCTTGTTAATGAGTCTTGACCTGAAATTTGGGAAACAGACTTACACTATAGGATAAGAACAACAAATTTGACTCTATTTCTTGGAAGATTACACATTAGAGAAAAACAGAAGCCTGTTTCTGAGTGGTCATAAGCTAGTGAAGGATGTTTGGGGGTGAGATGGCATGTCTGGCAAACTTCCCAAGTGACTCTGACCTTTGTTAAGCTGCTCTGATGTGCCTGGGTCTTGCCTAACTGCACTGTTGCTCTGTAGCTGCGGAGACAGCTGTCTCAGGAAAAGTGCCTGAGGACTTCTCTTGAGAACTCTGGATCGGCCATGCTGCTCAAAATACAGGAGATGGGGGCAGCAGTGGAGGTGGAACGCAAGCAGGTAGACATCTGTCCTCTCCTTATCTTTAGGAAAGAGAAAAGCTGACCGTTTTACCTATTAGCCTATAGTTTTGATAATTTCCTTTAGATTTATTAAATTATTAACTTTTCTTTATGTTATTACTATTTTAAATATTTTAGTGCAAAATAAGAAAGGATCTGCTATCATTCAGTCTGACACTCAGTTTATGAATGAGGGAGCTGAGGACCACAGAGATTAATTTGCCTCAGGCTTCGAGAGGTGAATGCTTAGCTCAGTGGTTCCCAAACTTATTTGGCCTACCGCCCCCTTTCCAGAAAAAATATTACTCAGCCCCTGGAAATTAATTTTTTTTAAATTTTAATAGCAGTTACTCATCGCCCCCAAATGCACCTGTGGCCATCACCGCCCCCCTGGATTGCTGCAGCACCCACCGGGGGGCGGTAGCGCCCACTTTGGGAATCACTGGCTTAGCTCCTGGGACAGGATCCTTCCCACCGCGTCATTAATCTCTATTCCAGGGTTTGATCTTAGAAGGCATTACCCTGGCCTCATGGTATTTGTATGTGATGTGAATAGGAAATAAAGATTAAACTGATCTAATACTTAGAGCAAAAAATACCAATAAGTAAAATAATCAGGGATGTGTTTACAGGTCTGTTTTCAATTCTCATTATTTATTTTAATATACTGTTTTTGCCTTTATCATACTTGTTATTTGGAGTACCTATCTGTAATTTAGAATATTTTCAATTCTAAGCAATTTAAGGCAATTAGTAAAAATGCAGACTTATACCCTGGCCAAGTGGCTCAGTTGAATACTTATAATGTAAATATATAATCTTTACTTTAACCTAATTTTATTTTAACTAATCATTATTTAATTAACAATTAATAACTTAATTATTATGTTATCCATTATTTTAACTTAATTATTTTGATGGCTGTCCTTCACAATAGAATTACAAAGACGATTCCTAAGGAATTTGTAAGTGGTCCTTTATTGCTATGACTTGCACTGCCAGTATGGTAGCCACTAGTCACGTGGCCATTTAAATTTAAATTTAAATTTTTTAAAAATTAAAAATTCAGTTTCTCACTCACTCTGGCCACATTTCAAGAGCTCGACAGTCACTTGTGACTGTGCCTGCTGTGTGGTTGCACAGGGAGCTCCATTGGCCGGCACGGCTGAGGCCCCGCCTCTGTGGAGATGTCAACTGTAATGTGGAGGTGAACTCCCTTCTCCTCCAGTGATGCCTCACACATGTGCTATACGGTAGTTTATTAGAATCTTTACCTTACAGAAAAGGAGTTTTTCTTGTACAATTTCAGGTACAAGTTTTGCAGCAAAACTGCCTGTCCCTACGCAGTTCTATACAGAACACCCAAGAACTACTGGCACAGGAGCAACAAAAGAAAGGAGAGTTGGAGGCTGCTATCTTACAGCTCAAGTCTGACCTAAGTATGGGAATAGGTGCTAGAAATTACACTGTAGTTAGTTTTTGGAGATTTTATGCAAAAACTCTTAAGATCCCAAATTCTTGAAGTGGCCAGTGTCATTAGTATTTCCCATGGGCCTGAATGTAAAAAAAGCTGATTTCCTTTCTATCTGTGGCACTGAGAAAAGAGAATGTTGGTGACCCTCTTAATTGTAAACTTTTTATTTAGATATCTTTTCAAGTTTATTTAAGCGTTTGTGGACTTGGGAACATTTGGTTTCTAGAATCTAGATTGAATATTGGATAGTGGAATGTTAATAAGGAAATAAAGCCATTAATCCTTGCTAACCTACTGATTCTAATCATTTATCATGTCAGACTCATCATTCTTCAAGTTACCAGTTTATTTTGGTTAACCTCTATTTATAGAAATGGATGTAAGGTGCCTTGGAGCTTAGATTAATCTTCTCATTGTACAGATGCATAAACTGCGTCCTTAGAGGTGTCAGAGCTAAGAAATGGAAGAGTCTAGACTTGATCCCAGGTTTCTCAGAGTCATGCTTCTTCAGCCCATCAGCCCTTACCCTGCTGCTGTTTTTATTTTTATTATATATTTTTATTGATTTCAGAAAGGAAGGGAGAGGGAGAGAGAGAAACATCAATGATGAGAATCATTGATCCACTGCCTCCTGCACGCCCCCTACTGGGGATCGAGCTCCCAACTGGAGCATGTGCCCTTGACCAGAATTGAACCTGGGACCCTTCAGTCCGCAGGCTGATGCTCTATCCACTGAGCCAAACAAGCTAGGGCTACTGTTTTTAATACATAGGTGTAAAGTAGTTTTCAGATAGTTTGGCTCTAGAGATCACAGAGTTACAGGACTGTGCCTCACATATGAATACACTTCAGTGGTTTACACAGAACTTTCACAGTAATGACCTCATGTAACATGCATGCTTCCCAGAGTTACAGAAGGAATAAATGGTGAAATGTGGCTGAACCTGGATCTCTTGACTCCAGGCCCAGTGTTCTTGCTAGTGCGCCTTCTCTGCTCGCTGGCTGTGGTAGGGGCAGGGAATACCAAAAGGGAAAATGAAAATTATGAAAAACAGAGCAAAGGGCAACCCATTCAGGGTTCTGACTTACTGCTTTAGCAGAAAGTACGCTTTTTCCTGATAGTTGTTGAGTAGTGAGTTATTCAGTGACATTCTCACTGATGATGCCCCAAGATAATTTTCTGTCTTCCTATGATTGCATGGCTACAAAAATATGTTACATTGTATGGTGCTACGGCATTATCTCATTTGAGCCTTCCAGCAGCCTTGTGAGAAAGTTAAGAAAATAAAAGCCATTTAAAAAAATAAGATCTCTATCCAAGGACCCACAGTAAAGAGGATAGCTGGGACTAAAACTGTTCCCCTATTTCAGTCTTTGGTTTTATTTTCACCCTACATACTCTCTGTAGTTGAAAGTCTTTTTTCTCCACACAAAATCCTCCTGAGCTCCAGATGGAATGTTACTGCCAACTAAACATCTATACATGGTGCCTTTCAGCTGCCTCAGAACGCATGATGAAGACACAAGTATTACGGTTCTCGTTCATTCTGTCCCCAAACCTGCCCCTCGCCCTGTCCTCCCTGCTGCCCCAGTCTGAACGCTAGATATGTTCGTGGATTCATCTGTCTGTTGCCTTTGTCCTACCTGTCCCCCACCACGACCAGACAGTTACCCCTGCTTGTTACTTCACGAGTCTGCTTGCCCTCCGCACCTCACTGTCATTACCTTAGAGCCAGCTCTCATTGTTGTACACTTTGGTTACTGCCACAGCTACTAAACGGACCTCCCTGTCTCTATGAGCCTCTGCTAGAGGGATGTCTTGAAGAAAAAGCTTTTGGTTGTGTGCCCCCTGGCTTAAAGTCTCTCAGATTCATCATCACCTGTGCATGGGGTGAAATGTGGCCTCATTTCCCTTAGCACGTGGCTCTGGATCAGTTTCTTGATAATTTCCTGACTTAGTTTCTATAAAGAAGTGTTAGAAATACTTGTATCCTCCTTATTGCCACAAAACACAAACAAAAAGAAAGAAAATCAAAGCTTCTAAGAGAAATCATACTGTGTGGTTTCAGTGTAGTTGCACTGCGTCATTATCATCGTAGTGATGTGGACTCTGTTTTTAGTTTCTAGAGATGACCTTATTTCCAAGCTGGCTGAAGAAAATAAGGTAAGTTCTGAGGCTGGAGAGTGCAGAGGTGTCTTTCCTCTCTTCACTAAGTGATAGTTCCTCACTCGTGTTGGTTTATAGTCCTGATTCTTCCAAAATCTTTATTTTTAAAAAACTTTGTGTGAGTTGCATATTCAGAACAATTGTCAACCAGATCTTACTTTTATCGATCTTTTCTATTTTTTAAAGTTTCTATTTCATGTATTTCTGCTCTAATCTTAACTATTTCCTTCCGTCTGTTTACTGTGGGCTTATTTGTTCTTTTTCTCGTTCCTTTAGGTGTAGAATTATATTGTTTATTTGGGATTTTCTTGTTTCTTGAGGTAGGCCTGTATACTTATGAACTTCTGTCTTAGAACTGCTTTTGCCGCATCCTATAAATTTTGGAAAGTTGTGTTTTCATTTTCATTTGTTTCAAGATAGTTTTTTTAAATCTCTTGTTTGACTTCCTCTTTGATCTGTTGTTTGGTTAGTAGCATGTTGTTTGGCTTCCACATATTAGTGTTTTTTTAAGTTTTCTCCCTGAAGTTGATTTCTAGTTTTATGCCACTGTGATCATAGAACATGCTTGAAATGACTTCAGTTTTTTTGGATGTATTCAGACTATTTTTGTGGCCTAATAATGATCTATCCTGGAAAATGTTCTATGTACGCTTGAAAAAAAATGTGTATTCTGCAGTTTTCAGATGAAATGTTCTATAAGTGTCTGTTAAGTTGATCTCGTCTAATGTAATATTTAAAGCCATTAATTTTTTGGTCTGGATCTATCCATTGATGGGGGTTGGGTATTAAAATTCTCTACTATTGTATTACTGTGGATTTCTCCCTTTACATCCATTAATAACTACTTTATATATTTAGGTGTTATTATATTGGGTGCATAGATATTTACAATCATTGTAACCTCTTTTTGGATTGACTTTATAATTATGGATGTCCTTCTTTGACTTGTTTTACATTTTTTGTTTGAAAGTCTAATTACATTTTGTCTAATGTAATTAATGCTATTGCAGCTTTCTTTTCATTTCTGTTTGCATGGAATATCTCTTTCCATTTGTTCACTTGCAGTCTGTATGTGTCTTTCCATTTGAAGTGAGTCTCTTATAAGTAGCAAATAGGTGGGTCATGTTTATCAGTCCATTCAGCTACACTGTGTCTTTTTGTTGGAGCATTTAATCCATTTACATTTAGAGTAATTATTGATAAGTATGTATGTATTGCCATTTTGTTAATTGTTTTTGTTTTTTTATAGTTGTCTTCTGTTCCTTTCTTCTTGATCTCTTCCATATAATTTGCTGTTTTCATTTAGTGTTTTGTTTAGGTTCCTTCCTCTTTGTTCTTTGTGTATCTTGTAAGGTTTTGGGTTTGTGGTTACCATGAGGTATATGTATATCATTGTTTTCTATAGCACTCCATTTTAATGTGATAGGTGTTTTAAGTTCAAATACAGGGTGTCCCAAAAAATGTATACACACTGTAACATCTGATAGCTCAATTTTTAAAATGAAATGTATTTTAATGAACACTGCCTTTATAATTATTCAAAGTATGTGTAGTCATTTTTGGGGACACACTGTATATTCTATAAGGACTACATTTTTACTCCTCCTCTTCATGATTTATGTTATTGATGTCATAGATTTTTGTGTTGTGCAAACACAAAGTACTTAATTGTTGTTTGAGTTGAGTTTGATACTTTTTTCTTTAAACCTTCATAGTAGCTTTTTAAGTGTCTGATTTGCTGTATTTATTGAATATTTAGCTTTACCTGTGAAGTTTTTTCTTTCTCATCTATTCTTATTTCTGGTTATGGCCTTGCCTTTTCTACTTAAAAAAGACCCTTTCACATTTCTTGTAAAGCTGGTTTAATGGTAATGAAGTCCTTTAGTTTTTCTTGACTGGGACAGAGCAGGTATTTTGAGAGAGATGCATGTAATAGTAGATCATACATGTAAAAGAGAGAGAAACTGTTTTCTCCTATAGAATGTGCAGATGTCTCTCAACAAGGAACATGAGAAAAATGGATATCTGAGGTCTGAAATAATATCCCTTCATGAAGCAGCAGAGAAAGTACAGGTAAGTCTTCTCATTTCTCTAGTTTTTTAGATGTTACTTAATTCTGTTCAATTAAGGAACTGAGAGCCAAGATTTATCCTGATTATATATTTTCATACCATTGCCATCATCCAAATTTTAATTTTCATAAGATCCACTTCATCTGTGAAATATTATCAAATTAACTACATTTCTCATTTCACTCTCCAAATTCCTATGACACATGAGTTTATGAGATATACTGCTAGGTCATGCACTAGTTCACACTTTGCCTTTGTTTGCTTTCTAATTTACTCTTTAAATAGTATATACCTTTCTTTCCTCTTACAAACTTACAAGCAGTTCAGTGTCAAGGGCTGTGTCTAATACTTTCTTTTATGCTCTAGCAAGTAGCACAGTAGGTATCTCATAAATGCTGGCTGGATTTTGGAGGTGGTGTGCCCGTTTTCTATGGGATGGTAGTTCCAAATTTCACTGATTTTTTTACATATGTATGTGTATGGAGAAGAGTCACCAAATATGCAGGCAGACAAGTTCTCGGAGGGCCCTATGAGTTCTACAAATATACTCATTTTAGGAGTTTTATGAATTTTGCAGCAAGCTGGGTAAATAATAAATCTTGATTTTTTTGGCTAATAGAGCTATAAAATTATAGAATTGTCAAATTAGAGTGGGGCCAAAGAAAGGCATTAAAATGAAAAATTGTTTAAAGAGGTTTTATATATACAGGGTGTTCCAAGAAATGTATACACACTTTAACAGCTGATAGCTCAATTTTGAAAATGTATCTTAATAAACACTGCCTTTATAATTATTCAAAGTGTGTATATATATTTTGGGGGGACACCCTATATATAAAATTTGTGTTTTTAAGCTAATTCAGTATCTTTGATCAGTTATGAATGAAACCCTATCAAATGACTTTCTGGAGCCTCAGCTTTAAATATTATTTCTAACACTCAGGTAGAGCAGAAAAGGGTGACACAGACTTTTCAAGAACAAAACTTACTGCTGGATGCAGCCCATGCCAGTATCACAAGTGAGCTGCAGAATCTTAAGAATGAGAAAACGCAACTCCAGGCACATCTGTAAGTCACTTGTGGGCAACTTCTTATGCATCTTTTGTCCTTGCATTCGTACTTCTTATCTTTAATGGGAACCTTTAATTCTGCATTTGCTGGGCCAGGCACCGTGCCCTCAGGAACTAGTTCTGTGAGAACAGGGTGACGACGGCTCTCAGGTGGCAGGGGTGCTCTACGAGAACGTCAGTCTCTGCGGGAGAACTCTCATGCCGCTTTCCTGTCTCCTTGGTCTTTCCTGTAGCGACCACTTAATCCTCGAGCACAACCAGTGTCTGCAGAAGGCCCAGGATGCTGAGAAGAGGACAGCGGTGCAGAAGGAGCTGCTGGAATCAACTATCGCGAGACTGCGCGGGGAACTGGAAGCGTCGCTGCAGGAGAAGACCTCTCTGCTGGGCGAGAAGGAGAGCCTTCAGAGAGAGGTGGGTGGAGGCAGGTTTAGGCGAGCTCCTCGTGTTTTAAATTGTATCTTAAGTGTCAAAGACAAGAAAGACCACCCAGATGCAGTTGGTCACAGTTGCTCATTAAATAAATAGTGAGGTGGCTAATCTGTCTTTTAGCAAGTGAAATAGTCTGTGCCAAAAAGAATATCCCCTTACGCAGCAGCACTAGTGAAGCTAACTAATAGTCCACACACATCCTCGTGTTCGATTAGGGGTCAGATTTTTAGAAATTGATTTCCCTGAGGGAGTGAATAATGTAGGTTAGGGGAACAGCCCTGTCTCCCTAGTTAGGAAGGACTAGCAGGGTCTGACATGCAGACGTGTCTTTCTAATTGCAGGGCTGTTTGTGACGTCTGCTTTGCCTCAGAGACTCCCTGAGTGGCCCCTTTTCTGAGAGGATGTGCTATCGGCAGTGTAGGTATTCATGGCACGCAGGGTGTGTCTGCTGTAGGGGCGCCTGCCGCTGCTTCAATACTGACCCACTTCTCCTTCCCCTCTGGGCAGGTGAATAAAAACGAGCAAGAAAAAGCACAAGAAAAATGCAGTTTGGAAAAGGAATTGGCTAAATACAAGGTATTCCACGTTTTATGTCATCTTCTGTCTCACTGCCATCTGGATCAGTTCATCTTAATGACAAGATGGGTTATTTGGTTGCATTCCAAGGCGTGGGGGCTAGAGAAGCGGGAAGCTGCTGCGGCTCCAAGCCCTCAGTCCTGCAGCTCATGGAGCCGGCTCACTGTGAGCGTCTGGTGTTCCCCAGGGAGTCATCACTGCCCCCCTCTGGCCACTGAGGGGCTTAGCCAGGAGGTCCCCTGAGGGGGCTTATGGGCACGTGGGAGGCCAGGGTGACTGCTAACCATGCTGTTTTTTGTTTTGTTCTGTTTGTTTTTTTAAACTAACTTCGGCTTCCTAAGTACCGACTAGCACCTGCCACTTTATCTGCAAGGTCCCCTTTTCTGGGTTCTAAAAAGATAGAATTGGCCAGAGAAACAAATACAATTATTATTAAAGTAAAAAAACAACAACACACCCAACAATCTCTAAAACATTGCTGCTTGCATTTCAGAATTTGAAGAGAGTTAAGGTTATGCATCACTGTTATCTAGAGAACATATCTAGAGCGTCAGGAACTCGCCTACCCCAGACAGTAGGTCCAGCAGCAGATGTCAGGACAGACGTCAGGCCCTGGCTGTCCCTTGGCTTCTGACTGAACTAACGAGCTTTTGTAATACCAGATATGTGAGCAGTTTTACATTTTTATTTCTCATTTAAGAATTGGGAACAAAAGAAACGCTAAGTTCTTAGCCCAAGCTCAAATACCATTCACCAAGCTGGCAGGGGCCCCCTGTGGTTTAATCTCTCATACCCAATAAATTGAAAATAGTCCACTGTCAAAAGTCACTGAATGAACTAACTTCTTGGGGGTCAGGACTTTGTTGGTGTCAATTTGGCCCAAACAGGCTTTTTAAATTTTGGAAAACTGGCAGCTACTATTAAATTCATGAATGTTTTTTGCTTAAAAATATTAGTGAATGTTACAGGGCTAAGGCAAATGCTGTATTCTGTGATTTAAAAACAGCATTACTTTGCTTGTCTGATTTCAATTGTCTTAATGTAGGCCGAGCGTCAGGCGATGGGACTGGAAGGGACTTGCTTCTTAGAGTGGTTGTATTAGGCAGTGGTAATGCTGTTAGAGTCCTATTTTTTGTCTAAATTGATTTTTTAACGTGTATTTGTAAAGCTCTGGGTTTTTGGAGTCAGGTTTACTGAGTTGTAATTTACATAGTGAAGTTCACCCTTTTCTGTGTTTGGCTCTGAGTTTGGCAGCACATGCAGGATGTGATTACCACCAAAATAAAAATACAGAACATTTCTCTTGTCCCAGAAAGCTCCCTGGGTCCTTTGTAATCAACCTCTTCCTGCACCCTGGTAACCACTCATCTGCTTTTCTGTCCCTGTAGTTATCTTTTCCAGAACATCCTATAAATGAAATCATACAGGATGGTACACCTTAAGTCTGGCTGCTTCTATTTAGTGTAAAGCCATTTTGCTGTATCATAGTTTGTGTTCCAACATATAGATGTATCACAGTTTCTTTACCCTTGGCCAAATGAAGGACATCTGGGTTGTTCCCTGTGTAAATATTCACATGTGAACATATATTTTTATTTCTCTTGGGTAAATATCGTGAGTTGGATTTCTGGATCCTGTGGTAAGTATATATTTGAATAACAGACTACTCAACTGTTTTCCAAAGGATGTGTATCATCTTGCACTCCTACCAAGACATATATGAGTTGCATTTTCTCTCCATTCTTACCAACACTTGGTATTTGTCAGTGCTTTTTGGTTTAGCCTTGTAACTGGTGAGCAGTGGTATATGATTGTGGCTGTAATTTGCATTTCTCCAATGACTAATAATAGTGAGCATCTTTTCATCTGCTTATTTGCCATCCACAACTTGAATTGTCTCTTCAAATCTTTTAACCATGTTTAATTCAAATGTTTGCTTTCTTACTATTGATTTTTCAGAGATTTTAAAATATAGTCTCATATTAATTCTTAAGAAAAAAATTATATTTATATATACATACAAATATTTTATCAGGTATATGTGTTATATATATTTTCTTCCATTTTATGCCTTGTCTTCTCATGTTCTTTCAAAGAGCAGTTTTATATTTTGGTGCTTAGTTTATCAATCTTTCAAATTCTGTGGATCTTACTTTTTGTGTCATATCTAAGAAATTTAAACTAAGCTCACAAAGATTTTCTCCTTTGTTCTCTAGAAGGCTTATAATCTTAGGTTTTACATGAGGTCTATGATCCTATCCAAATTAATTTTTGTATATCATTCAAGGTACGGTTCAGGTGCATGTTATTGTGAGGTGGATGTCTGATTGTTCTAGTACCTTGTATTATTGGGATATAATTATTACTATAAATTCATCCTCTTAAATTATACAGGTCAGTGGTTAGCATATTCACAAGTTTATGCAAACATCACCGCTCTCTAATTCTAGAAGCTTTTTATGCAAAAAGAAACCCAGTACCCGTTAGCGGTTACTCCCTATTCACCCCTACCCCAGCCCCTGGCAACTACTGATTTCCTTTTTGTCTCTGGATTTATCTCTTCTGGACATTTCATATAAATGAAATGTATGTAGACTAGTATGTATGTAGTCTTTTTGGTCTGGCTGCTTTTCACTTAGCATGATGCTTTCGAGGTCTATCCATATTGTAGGATATGTCAGTACTTGATTCTATAGATAGCTGAATAATATTCACTGTATGAATATACCATATTTTGTTATTCATTCTCAATTGATAAACATTCAAGCTGTTCCACTTTTCAGCTACCAAGAATAATGCAATGAATGTTTGTACAGTTTTTTGGTGAGCATGTTTTTCTTTTTCTTTGGTATATTTTCCCCAGTTTCACTACTGGGTCACGTGATAATTCTGTTTACCGTTTTAAGAAACTGCCAAACTTTTACAAAGCAACTATCACTTTACAATCAATCCCACCAGCAATGTATGAGGATTCCAGTATCTCCACATCCTCATTTATACTTGTCATTGTCTGTTTCAAAAAAAAAACACTAAAAAGTATCACACAAACAGCAGTCACCATCCTCATAGCTCAGTTTTGTGTCAGCAAAATGTTAAAGGATGTTCATGATTCCAAGATTTTCCAAGACGGGGCTCCCCAACGCTTACATGGGATGTACTTGCTTAAAAAAGAAAAACGTTCTGGACATACCTCAGGAGCTTTTGCCACTTGCTCTATTGTTTCAAATTCCTCAAGGCAAATTCCTTTGGATCTCCAGTAGATGTATGGTGTAGGCTACTTATATAAACAACATCGCCACATTTCCAAAATGCTCTTTCAATCCAGCTGTGATGAGCAGTTTTGGGAAGTAACTCCTGTGATAAATTAGAAGCAGTATTAAATAATGTAAGAATTCCTACTAACGTCAACCGGTTTTACTTGAATATTACAAAAATAAAATAAAAATTTATTCTACCCATCTTATTGGATGTGAAGTCTCTCACATCCAGTTGTTTCATGTATCAGTACTTCTTTTCTTCTAATGGCTGAGTAATGTTAATTGTGTATATATTCAGTTGATTCATGAACAACACGGGTTTGACCTGCCTGAGTACACTTATACATCAATGTGAATTATTTCTCTATTTTATTTCACTTTTTTTCAAAATTTTTCTCAGCAGTATGTTGTAATTTTCAGCATATCAAATATTGAACATATGTTTTTAGATTTGTATCTAAGTATTTCATGGGTTTGGGTAATTATTAATATTTAAATAAATGCCAAGTATCAGAAGAACTTCCATTTCTAGTAAATGTAAACTGTGTAAATTTATAATAACCCTTCTGCTGAAGACAACTAGAAACTTGAAAAAATATAAAAGAAAAATCATTTTTAAAATCATCATAGCGCGATCGGATTGAAAATCCCCAGATATAAAGGTAGAGAACATGTTCATAAGATACTTTCTATTTTACAGTTGAACATGTCATGTTCAATAAGTTAATATTTTTGGATCTGGCATAAGGAGTCTATGTATAGGTGGTAAATGGATTTCTTTCTCCTTTTGCGTTTCAAAGGCAGATGTAAACGCATTAACCCACAGCCTGCAGGCTCTGGAGGAAAGGAACAAGGGCCTGGCCGATCAGGTGGCTTATCTGGAACTTCAGCAAGACGAGGCCGATTACCATGGGGTGGGTATAAAAAGGTCAGTCTTCAGTAGGAAGTGATGACTAATGAGTTTTTAAAGAGGTCAGGAGATGGGCTTGCTTTCTTTCCTTTCCTCCCTTCCTTTCCTTTCCTTTTTCCTTTCCTTTTTCCTTTCCTTTCCTTTTTCCTTTCCTTTCCTTTTTCCTTTCCTTTCCGTTTTCCTTTCCTTTCCTTTTTCCTTTCCTTTCCTTTTTCCTTTCCTTTTTCCTTTCCTTTTTCCTTTCCTTTTTCCTTTCCTTTTTCCTTTCCTTTTTCCTTTCCTTTCCTTTCCTTTCCTTTCCTTTCCTTTCCTCTTACACAGATGATCTATAATGCTGAAAAGCACAGAGATTGCTGATGTTTTAAAAACATCTGCTCTTCTATGAATTGTGAAGAAGAAACTTGTATTTTCCCCATCTGACAGTTTTCTCCATTACGTCATCAGTTTTAAGTTTGATTTCTAAAAGCTATTTAACAAGGCCAGTGCATTACAAACAAATGGCAAAGTTCTTAAAACATCTTCTCCCTGTGGTAAAGGGGATTTAAAGAGATGATTGCTCTGTGAAGAGAGAATACGTTTCCTATGTGCCTTTGAATACTTGAAATTTAATTATTGCTTCTACAACATGCAAATAAGCTTTGGAAATTCCATGGACGCCCTAATGTGAGTCTATCTTAATCTGAACTAAATTCTCTCAAGCTGTGTCATAAGCTGCTCATTGCTTCAACTATGAAAAATTACAGCGTAAATGTAAGTCCTTTTACATTTTCATGGCTTTAGAGCCAGCCTGCCTAGGTTTTTCAATCTTGGCTGAGATTCTTGATGATGCTGCTTAACCTTTCTGAGCCTCAGTTTCTTAAATCTGTCAAAATGGGGATAATCATACTATTATTAGGAGGTTGAGGGTTGTTCAGGGGGTTAAGTTAACACATGTAATGCATATATCAGACAGCTAACATTTATTGAATTCTTGGTATCTGAATTGACCCCGGGTAAGAAGGTCTTGAGCTCCTATTGGAGTGACTAGAGGCACTAGCTAATTCCCAGGTCTCTCGGGCCAGTCCTCCCTCCCCCGAGACTAAAGATTCCTCCCTGTCCTTTGCTTGTTGGCCAGGTCTCAGCGGGGCTTCTTCCCAATTTCCTTTTGGTCTGGAAGACCGCCTCTCAGCCTGCGCCCACACCCGTGAGCAGGCCTGTGGCCTTACCTTATTCCTGACTTTGACAGATCTCGCCAGTGATTTGGTCCAAGTTGATTCTTGCCTGCAGACCACACTTCTTGAAAAGGTCTCCCGATGAGAGCCCACCCCTCCAGCCTGCAGACCCGAGTCTGTCCACTTGGAATCTGCTCTGACCACGGCAGCTGGGAAGCTCTGCAGTTGGCAGTAGCAGGCTGAGGAATAAGGTCAAGATTTCAGGGTTATTTTTTAATCTTAACAATACTGTTAAGCCTATTTCCATTCAGTGCTGGCAGTGTAATTTGTTCTTTGAGAGTTCACACTTGAAATTCTCCATAAAAGCTTCCTTGTAGTCTAACCTCTTATTGACACACTTGAGATGATACACATGAGTGTGTGTTGTGTATGTCCTCTCACCCTCGACCCCCCTCAGGTGTGAACTCAGGCAATCCTGGTTTCCACCCTTGGCTCCATTTATGTGTGACCTGAGCAGGTTCTTAACGTCAGTGGGGATCTTCCCTAACTGGGGTTCCCACAGCACACTGCATGCCCATACAGAATAACTGATACGTGGATGAGAAATTGACCTGTTCATGCATCTGCCTTCACTCTTCTAATGCAAGAATAGGAGTTACTAATCTTTATACTCCCTGGCCTAGTGCCTAATACATAAGAGGTGTTGAAGAAACGTTGATGGAGGAGAACACAGAGGATCCTGTCTGCCCTGCGGATGGGGAGGATTAAATGTGTGTGGAGTGTCCACCACAGAGCCTAGCATACAGTTTCCCCCCATAAATACCGTTCTCTTACTTTTTCCTCACACCTCCTAATTTTAAGTGTGTTTGTGCCATTTCAGCCTTTAATAATGGTGTAATTAAGCCCATTCCCACAAGCAGTCATGCAGGAAACCTCTGTGAGAAAAGATTTAAATGTGGGAAGGTGGCTATTCCTGATTTCAAGTTAAATGACTATCCTCCCCACCTTTCTTTTGGGTTCTAAACATTTCAAATAGTACCACCAGACAAAAATATAGTCCTGTGCAGCTAGAGCATTAATGACTTGAAGTTAAACAAGAACTGAATCTTAAAACCAGGAAGATGTTCGTCAGTGTACCACTGGCAGGTGTCAAAGTTGGTTCCATCTGCTGGGGACCCGTCATACTACTTGTTAAATACATTATTTTGAATAAGACCCTTCTTACAGCCTTCTTATAAAATAGCTTTGCCAAGATGCAGTATCTGTTTTTATGTATTCTTCTAACAGCTTCGGCTAACTTTCACAGCTTACCTGGATTTTTTGAATGATTTCAGAAATCATTTTGTGGCTTTCTTGGCCACCTGCCTTTGAGACCTTAAGATAATTTGTTTCCTTCCTGCTTTTCCAAGGAGTAAGCCTTTGTGTTTGAGTTACAGTGTATATTCTAACCACTTGCATTTTTCTTTGTAACCTGTTTCTCAGGTGCTTTGCTCTGCATATTTAATAACCTTTATAGTATTTTGCCTAGATTACTTAAGCAACGGTTGCCTTCCACAACTCAGAATTGGAGCTGTTCACTCATTTAAGTGGTCTTTCTCTAATCTTTGATCTTCCATTGATTCTCTTAAGTACAGGGCCTATTCAAATAATCTGCAAACAGTAATTTAAGTTACTGCTTTCACATTGATTTTCCTTTGACAACTGGTAACCATTTCTTTTTGTCATAAATTTAAATAAGTGACCATGTGTCCAATATCAGATTTTTATTTTGCTTGGATAGTTTTCTCTTATCATTTCATTAGCATTCTCTTTAGTGGCAAAGGAAAGTCTTTTAAAGGTGTATTTAAAATATTAATAGAATTTCGATATGCCTTGGCCTAAAAGAGAAAATTTTATTGAAGAAAAAGGTGCTATTATTTTTTAAAATTCCTAGACATCTTTTAAAAGAGACCCAGACCATCTAAGTTATTCCATGAAAAGCCTTTCCACATTCCAAGAAAGCTGAGTGATTTTTGAGTGTTTAGTATTTGCTCTAGCGGCATATTTTAGGTTAAATCTAGCCCGTGGTGTTTTTACACACTATTCCTACACCTTACAGCACTTTGGGGCACATTGATTTATAGAATTTGGAACTGAATTTTAATAATCAGGGTTTTACAGTTATGGTTTAGCTATTTTTGCAGCATTACTAGCCATCCTTTCATTTATTTTTTACTGAAGATGTGGTTGAAGCATAATCCCAAACTATAATGTTTCATTCATGGAATGATTTTACATCAGAGTTTCTAAAATAGAAAGTTTTGGTAAAGGAGGCTTGTATGTCGTCACAGACAGAAAATTGATGATTAAATTTATGATAATACATTAGTATTAGTCTTCTATTTTTTTGATGGCAGTCCACATTTCCCTTAGGTTATTTTGAAACCAATACTTTATTGGTCTGAATGCTTTTAAAAAAATATTTTCCTTTGCCTTAGTGGTAGCAACACAGAGATATTTTAAAAAACTTTAAGAAACAATGTATGAATATGCATATTATACATGAATTAAATATTGCTTTGACAAGACAAATACTTAGATGGTCATAATAGTTAATAGCCCACTGACACCTAATATTCATTATACTTTTTATATTGAATGTGTGTAATTTTAGAGTAGATGGTATACAAGGACTCATGACTCTTACGTTTGTTTTGTTTTGTTTTTTTAATCAAGTCTAGACTGTCTAAAATGTCCTAATTCTTCTAGTTCAGGCAACAACCGAGGAGAAAACAAAATCTAGACTAGTATGCTCGCTTGTGCTATCATGAATATATATGGAACAGAGGAAAATATGAGTAACATGTTATTATATAGCAATCTAGTTTGAAGTGTGTCTTTTCTTTTACTTGGAAATAAGTGTGTTGGATTCACAACACTTGAAATAAAGGGCAGTACAAAGTGATGGCTAAAGAATAGCTGTACCTGTCAGAGAAATGAAGAATTTCTCCTTGTAAATTAATATCCCTACATGTATGGTTTCATCATTATCAACTTGCCCAAAGTTGAATATAACACAAAAGTCTAAATTCTTTGGCTTTAAATGCTTTAAAGGTTCCCTGTTATTTATTCACAAATAAAGCAAATGTAAGCCAGAAGTAGTGAATTATGTCAATATTTCCCAGCACCTTAAACTCCAGATTCACTGCAGAAGGTCTGTAGTTCAGTAGGCAGCTTGAATGATGGAGGATTTGCTTGTGTCTGTATTATTTCACAGTTGATTTGTGAAGATACTTTTGACATCAGTGTTTCCTGTTATCAAAAAAACAACATTGAAATTTATTATGGAGGGTGAGACTTCCCATGTTTAATCACTAATATTGTTCCTAAAGTACCAAGAAGGCCCAAAATGTAATCAAAAGAAAACTATGTTATACTTATTTCGCTGACAAAGTTTGATGGAAAAAATGCCAGTATTAAATAGGCTGTTTGAATGATGAAAATATGCAATTTCATGAATGATAGAGCTTTCAGTAATGTTTGACCCAGATAACACCGTGTTCAGTGTTTGATCAAAACAGTGTTTTTCGTTTCTGCCTTTGACTCTGATAGCGGAAGCCTCTCCTACCGTCCGAGGGCTGTGACCATTTGCACATCCTGTTCTCTTCCAGGACTGTCTGAGCTCACACTGTAACCACTGATACAGCCCCCACGTCTGGGCTGGACCACGGCTACAGAGGAGGAACTGATGTAGCAAAAATAGAATTAATAAGTAAAGAAGTGCCCCTGGGACTCTCCGGGCACTCGCTCTCCTTGTCTGCCTCCCAGCGTGTTGCAGAGCAGCACCTGGCTGTCTAGGGCAGGGGAAGAGGCAGCGGTAGGCAATAAGTAGGAATCCTGGTTGCATTGGTAGGAAAATGGTGAGGTGCAGATACTGTTTAAAAGGACAGTGATGGTTCCCTTGCATGCCTGGTGCACTGATCCATGTCTGCTTGCTTCATCAGCTTGCCCGACAGAAGGTGGAAAATGTCTTGGGAAAAATTACTCAGAGTAAAAATAAACTGGCCTATGAAAAGGGAAAACTCCAGGTATGAGGTTTTATTTTCTGAATTTTGTTGTCTAACCTTTTAATGTTATTTGTCAGTCTAAATATTGATGAATTTTGAGAGTACCTAGTCTGTCATTTACTAATTACATAACTTTGGATCAGCCTTCGAACCTCCCTAATTTTATTACTGCATTAAAATCTAAGTGACTTCTATTTACGTACCGATACTGTAATGTTAAAACCTTAAATCTCGAAGCCAAAGGCCATTCTGTGAAGCTTTATTATAATTGTTTAATGCAAGGTCATTTACTGAGAATGTAGAGAGCCTGTGTTCTCTCTTTGCTGAATTTTGTCTAACTTTCCTAAAGAGAAATAACCCTGGAAATTGGTCTTCTGAGGCACCAGAATAGATGAGTGAATGGGATGATACCACTCTTCCTTTGCAAAGGTTTTGTTTTGTTTTAATAAAGTTTTTATTGAACTATATATACAGAAAAGTACACAGGTCACTGCCTAGTAAATTTTCACAAAGTAAAGCTACTCATGCGATCAGCACTCAGATCAGGAAATAGAACATTCCAGAACTCACTGCATAGCCTTTCCCAGTCACTATTTCCAAGAAAGGTAATTCCCATCCTCACTTCTGACACCTCAGATTAATGGTTTCTGTACTTGAACTTTAAATAATAATACAGTGTATATATTTTTGTATCTTGTTTCTTTCACCCAACACTGTAATTGAGAGCTTCATCTATGTTGTTTGTTGTAATTCTTTGGCTTAAATTGCTGCTTGGTATTGTATTATATAAATACTAGAGGCCTGGTGCATGAAATTCATGCACTCGGGGGGTCCCTCAGCCCAGCCTGCACCCTCTCACAGTCCAAGAGCCCTCGGGGGATGTCCGACTAATGGCTTAGGTCCGCTCCTAAGCTGTCAGTCGGACATCCTTAGTGCTGCCAAGGAGGTGGGAGAGGCTCCCACCACTGCCGCTGCGCTCGCAAGCCATGAGCCCGGCTTCTGGCTCAGTGGTGCTCCCCCTGTGGGAGTGCACTGACCACCAGGGGGCAGCTCCTGCATTGAGAGTCTGCCCCCTGGTGGTCAATGCGTGTCACAGCAACCGGTTGTTCAGTTAACCGGTTGTAATGGTCGCTTAGGCTTTTATATATATAGATTCGCTTTAAAAAAGGAAAAAAATCTGTGCTATGCTGAAATTATCACAATTTCTTGAATGTATTTTCACACTTTGGCAGTTCAGGTTGTTTTTACTTTGAAGCTCATTTCAAACTGTGAAAGGGTTAACATTGTAGGTATGTCCTGCTTCATTTCAAATGTACCATATGCAGTGAAGAAAAAAAACTAGAAAATGCATTGATTGCGTTAGTTTAAATACTTGCCTTACAAAGCATATCCAAATAAGACATCCTTTCCATCTCCCTTAGCTGCCTCAGAGTTTCCCTAGTGTTGTATTGAGTGCCTGCATCCATCTCCGTCTGTGTATTTGGGCACTGGGAACAGTGTGCGGATGTGACCTTGCCCGAGTGTCTGCTGGTCCTGCGGTGGCCGTGGGAGCTGCGTGGGTAGTCGTGGCAGAAACACCCAAGATCTGGGCCGCGGGATGCATTTGCTTCTGTGTCCTTTCCCATTCGAATGTCCTGAGTTAGAAATCCTACCGAATAAGAAATTCAGTGTAAAAACTCAGGGCTCTCGATAAGAACATGTTATCTGACAAGCGTGTCGGCATTGTGCTGAGTGCCCGGGGGAGGCAGGGCCAATCACCTGAGCAGCGCTGTGGCGTGAGGATAGTCCGTGTTGTGCTGGGAGAGAGGCACGTCGGAAAGTCCTCAGTGACGCAGCCACTTCCCATTGGGCTCACAGGTTGACGCTTGCTTGTGTTTAAAATAAGAGTAACGGCTGCATCCCCACCTCCCTTCAGAGGCAGCATACCATTCTGAACCGTAAGTGGGAACCAGGACGACTTTTTACTGGTGGCACGTGCTTTTCTCCTGTGCGCTGTGGGAAAGGCGGCCGAACGGCCACCAGGAGGGAAGGAAGGACCCTGCTGATGGCTCAAGACACAACGTGTTCTCATGCAGCTCTCACGCAGCCTTTCAGAAAACACTGCAAACACGCAGAGCTCAGCAGCTCTTCAAATGTCCAGAGCTCCAGCCAAGGGTGCTTGTCCCCTGGTAGGAAACAAGAAGATACCACGAGAGAAACAAGTTTTTTAAATTAAAACTTGGGGTGAAATTTTTTCTGATTTAAGAATAGGCTCAGCAATGTTAGTTGTTGATTTGTATGAGAGAGTTGGGAATAAGAGGACGAAAATGTAGAAAAACATAATTTGGAGATGTCTGAGTAAATATTAATGATAATCATTTTCCCCAAATGATCAAAATCTTTAAAGGCAAAGATGTGAGTGGTCACTTTTATGAGTTAGTTCTAAAACACAATTCAGCATATAATTCCATTTATTCAATTTTTGTAATTCTGCCAGTGAAAACACAGACTGTCTCCTTGCATGTTGACAATTCTAATGATCCATATTTTAAAAGAAGTTTGAATGCCAGATACCACAGTTCCTTTAAAATTGAAAGTTATTACCTACAAAGTCTCACTGTTATAATCATGAGTCATGTTAATTTGGAATTTCCATAAGCAGTAGAAGCCAAATGAATTATCTCTGTACATAAAAACGGATTTAGCTTATTTTAGCTGATGAAGTCGCTACGTATTTCAGTTGAAATAACTTTTTGCATTATTAGAAAAACTTAGGATTGCTTTTTACAGGTTTTAGGGATTCTCTAAATTTGTTTTGAAACTCATGAAATCTTTTTTTCCCTTTTGGAGTATATAGCTATATATACAGTATCTTATTATTGACGAGGCTTATTTTTATTATTCTTTGGCCTTTTCCCTAGATAAAAGTGAAACAGCTGGAAGAGCAGCTACATTCTTTCACTGAAACCTGCTCACAGAATGACCATCTGCGCAAGTTGAACAAGGCTCTGGAGGGCAAATACACTCAGGTGTGATTGACAGCTACAACAGGTGGCTGTTGAGCGGTTTTAACTCATTTTTAAGAGATGGATGCCTTTTTCCCACCTGACCAAACAGTGCCAGAAAGATGAATATTCTCACTTAACTCAGTTCAACAAGCGTTTTTTAAACACACAGTATGTACAAGGTTCTGCTAAGCCATCGAGGCATTCACAAAGATGCCTGAAGCTCGCTTACGCTCTAATTTGAGGCTTAGAAATGTGCTCAATAAACTTTATTATAGAATAGAAAGCAGGACTTTCAGAAACAAAGTAGCTTGTATTTTGAGCATTCATAGGAAACACATTACGATGGAGCTAACTTTTGGCGACAAGTCTCTGGTTTTTGAATTCTAGGCAACAAGACACACCTGCAATCAGCTGCTTACTTAGAGAGGTGTTCGTAAAGCAGGTGCTTACTTGTCAGCATGGTGACTGTTGAGATTGATAACATTTTTAATTGATTTTTTTTTTTAGAGAGAGGAAGGGAGAGAGAGAGAAATAGAATTAAACCCACAACCTAGGTATATGCCCTGAGTGGGAGTCGAACCAACAACCTTTTGGCGTAAGGACAGTGCTCCAACCAACTGAGCCACCCAACTAGGGTGAGATTGATGATAACATTTTAACCAATGAATAGAGAAAGTTAGACAAGTAAGATATATAAACTATTTTGCAAGGAAAATAATCCAGGAATGTGTAACTCAGGGGTCCTCAAACTACGGCCCGCGGGCCACATGCAAATACAAATATTGTATTTGTTCTCGTTTTGTTTTTTTACTTCAAAATAAGATATGTGCAGTGTGCATAGGAATTTGTTCATAGTTTTTTTTAAACTATAGTCCAGCCCTCCAACGGTCTGAGGGACAGTGAACTGGCCCCCTGTTTAAAAAGTTTGAGGACCCCTGGTGTAACTGAAAGGAAGTGATTCATTTCAATAATTTACAAATTGACCGTGTATATTGTTTTTAAAAACACCTCTGCCCCTCTCCAGCAGCATGTGTAATTTCGGTAGCTGTAACATTTGTGGATGTGCCTTCAGTAACCAAGGAAGTGGAATGTGTCTCCAGATGGAACCCTGTCAGGGTTCTAACCATCTGGCTGTTGGTCCAGGGCCTCATTAGAGGTGCTCTCCCTCAGGGATTTGATGAAGGGACAGACTCTCGGTGGGGTGTCTTCATTCTGAAAGCACGGAACACTTTTCACATTATACTTCCTGTCGCGGCTTGGCTTAGAACGTCGTTGCTCCTCCTAGCAAAGGGGACACTCTTTGAAAAATAACTACATTTAGTTGAGTTTAGTTTAGTTTATTGTTTTTAATTGTTGATGCCTCCAAGAAGAAGGAAATCTCCGGAGAGGCCTGCGTCTTCGAAATTTCTTGAGAGCTGTAGACCCAGCGTAAAGGAGAGAACCGCGTCCGTGGGTCTGCCCAGTGTTGTTCCCAACTCCACACGCCATGTGTCCTTTGCCCCTGCCCTGGCTTCTGTGAGATCTCAGGACACTGGGGACTCTCGAATCTCTCTAAAGACTCTTTTGAATGCTATTAAAACCATGGAGGGAAGACTGGAAGGTAAAATAGACATTCTTGCTTCAAGACCATTTAAACCTTATGAGGCATCGTATTTTCTTAAACGGGATTCGGTAAGTAAAGACCATAAATGAAATCATTGGGAAATTTGAGATTTATATAACAACATGAGGCCCAGTGCACAGATTTGTGCATGGGGGGGGGGGGGGTATGCAGAGGGCATCCCTCAGATTGGCCTGCACCCTCTCACAATCCGAGACCCTCGGGGGATATCTGACTGCCCGTTTAGGCCTGTGGGGATTGGGCCTAAACTAGCAGTCGGATATCCTCCGAGGGATGTAGCAGTGTGCCAAGTGGCAGATGGCCAGGGAGGAGCCCGAGCCGGGTCAGGCGCCACGCCCCTCATGCTCATCCTGGCCTGCTGCGCCTGCCACCACCGCTCGGTAGCGCTGCCAGGGAGTCAGGAGAGACTCCTGCCACCACAACTGCGCTTGCCAGCTGTGAGCCCGGCTTCTAGCTGAGTGGTGCTCCCCCTGTGGGAGCACACTGACCATCAGGGGGCAACTCCTGCATTGAGCATCTGCCCCCTGGTGGTCAGTGCGTGTTATAGTGACTGGTCCACTGGTCATTCGTTCATAACCGTGGCTTAGGCTTTTATATAGATAGATGAAGAATAGTAGTAACAATCCAGAAAGATAATGTTTGAAGGTCTGAGTAACAGGAAATTAGGTGCTTCACAAATAGGGGATACTGATGATACAAATAGAAACCATTCTGTCTCTCACATAATTACTGTTTTGGGACATAGAAAATACCAGATTTTGCTTAACAATAACCATTGACATTTCTAAAATCTTATTTTGATTTATTTTTTAATTTAAAATATCTACCTAATCTTAAATGTTCGAATTAAGTTGTTTGGTTAAAGCCTGATTTTAAAATAGAAATACATGAATAAAAGGCCTAAGAACTTGAACGTCAGAAAATATTTTCCAAAGAAAACTTTTTAGAGCATCCATCTTTGCTTGATACTTAAACCATGAGTTACTACCACACCCCTACTTGCATGTCTAAAAGGGGAAAACTGATGAGACCAGGTGTTAGTGAGGATGTGGAGCAGCAGGGCTTCTCATACGCCGCCGAAGGGAATGAAAAATGGTGCAGCCACTTTGGAAAATAATTTGGAAGTTTCTTTAAAAATGAAACATAACTACTACTCTATGACCCAGCCATTCTACTCCTAAGTATCTACCAAAGACAAATAAAAACATTGTCTATACAGAGACCTGTCCACAGTTGTTCACAGCGCCTCTTCTGTAATTTCTGGAAGCTGGGAACGACTCGCAGGTCCAGCAGGTGGACGGGTACTACCTGTGGGACAGTCGTACGGCAGAGGATGGTCAGCAGCAGAAAGCCATGGACTCTGGGTACATGCGGAAGCTTTGCCCCCATTTCACATGTGACCTCATAGTCTCAGCTCCTTTATCCCGTATTCTGCACTTTCATGGTGATGGTCATATAGTAGGTTTGCTCGTTTATTCACACACATTTATTTTCGCTTTGGAGTTTTCTTTAAAGGGAAAAACGGCTAATAAAAAAGCTGATTTTATTTATAATAGTAAGTGAGCACGTTTAATTGACACTTAGGTTTGGTTTCTAAGTTGCTGTGTCTCGCTCTAATGCCGGTTTATTGTGCTGTGGGAAAGTGATGCGTGGTCCTCGTTCTCCTAAGGTGAAGTCCATCCTTGAAAAGAACGAAGAGGAGCTCTCGCAGGTGGTGAAGTGTCGCGATGCGGCGCTGAAGGAGAGCCAGAAGCTGAAAGGGGACCTGGAGGCCCTGGAGGACAAGGAGAGCAAGAAGGTGGGGTCCTTCCAGAAGTGGCGCTGGAGGAGGGCTGTGCATCTCACAGGCACACGCTTCCCTCCGGGTCTTGTTACTTTAGGAAGAAACAGTGAGGACTGATCAGAGGAGGATTTTGTTTTCTTTAAGAAAACTTTAGAAGCACTTTAAAATGTTTTCCTTAAAAATACATAATTTCAGTCCCAATATTTTTCAACTTCCTGTCTTAATCAAAAGAAAAAGTCCTAATTTTTTCTGTTGGAGCACATCTGATCTTGGTAATAGCCTGCCTCCTTTGCTTTATTAATATGATACACACTGCTACCATTTCTTGTTGAATTGTCACTAACTGCTCCCTGCTTAGGCGGGTGTGCTTAGTGGAAACAGGTCACATCCCAGGCGTCTCCTTGGCCGCAGGGCTGGATGGTGCCTCCCGCGGAGGGCTGTGGGTGCAGCATCTTCCAGCCCCCTCTACTTCCTCATGGTCTTTCGTCCTGAGAGAACTCTGACCAGGGCCCGAGCGGGCCAGCCAGGTTATTGGTCCCATGTCTAGTTAATGTCTGTGCTGTGTGCGACGTGCCAGTGGTCGGGGGCACTTCAGAGCTCTCCGTGCATCCATAGGATCTGAGGCCCAGTTTTCTTTTTCTCAAAATCACAATAACTTAGGAAACAAAGTAAGAATAAAATGTAAAATGTACTTTAATTATTCCTCTCAGCATTCTACCGTGCCTGGTTCCCATACTCCTTTCCTGGAAGTGATGGGACTCAGCAGAAAGAATCAACCATCTTTCCTGGCTTCATTTCCTATTAGATGGGGAACTTTCAGCGGCAGCTGGCAGAAGCGAAAGAAGACAATTGCAAAGTGACAATCATGCTGGAGAACGTGCTGGCTTCGCACAGCAAGATGCAAGGCGCTCTGGAAAAAGTGCAGATCGAGCTCGGGCGGAGGGACTCGGAGATCGCAGGCCTCAAGAAGGAAAGGTAGCGAGATGCTTTGCTGTCTTTGTGCTTGTCCTTTCCTGCTGCTCTGCAGTGAGGAGCAGTGAGAAGTCAGGACACCAGCCAGTTACAGCTTTCCCCTTGCAGACACCGGTGATGGCGAAAAGAACTAGTTTAAAGTTAGGGAAGTCTGGAATTCGAAACCAACATGATTTCCAGAATTTCAAAATGCTTATATTTTTGTAGTGATATAAAATTGTAGAAATTCATGTGATCTATTACATTTTACCCTTGCTGTTTTCTACACCTTTAAACTTGTGCTTGGATCTACAGAATTGTAATTGTCAAGATAATTGAAGCTAAGTGCCTACTTTAGTTGGATTAATTATCCTTTTATTAGTGTCCCATTTAAAGATTAACAATTATTTTATATGAATCATTCTGAGAACTACTTCTAGCCATGTTTTATTAGTAAACTCCTTTGAATGTTTCAAATATTACATAAAAGTTTCCCTTTTAGGTTAATGAGTGAATGGTCTGTGTTTAGTAAGGCGTTTGCAATACGTTATAATGTGTATATTGGCGGTGCATGTTGCCTCTATGTTATGAGAGGACAAGTGAGTTTTATAGTCTGCATTACGCTCATCTTTATTTTTTACATATTATGAATGTGTCTTCAGCACTTACTGGTAAAAAGAAATTCAAGGGGATGGTAATAAAAATAGTTTACCATTCACAGTAAAATTCTACTAAAATTATGCAGTACACCAAAATATATATTTTTTGCCAATCTCACAAAAAAGTGATACTATGAATATATTCATTCACTGGTACAAAACTGTATGTACTTTATATATTATATATATGTTATAAAATTACCAGCCTGTAAGTTAATTATTGACATGTGTTGAGAGCTTAATGCAGCAATTTTCAACCTTTTTCACTTCATGTCAAATGTAATCTAATTACTAAAATTATGCAGTACACCAAAATATATATTTTTTGCCAATCTCACAAAAAAGTAGGGATAATTTTGATTCATTTACATAAGAAAGCTATTATATTGCTTGTTGTCATTTTTTTATTGTCAGTCTAAGGGAAAAGAGGTCAGTGCCCCTGGCTAAATAGGCAGGTATTGCATGTCTTAAAAATTCTTGCGATGCAAAAAAAAATTTTTTTAAATAAATAAAAAAATCTAAAAAAAAAATAAAAGAAAAAATTCTTGTGTCACATCGGTTGAAAATTGCCGGCTTAATGTGTCCAGCCAGACCTGTCCCATAAGCAGGGCAAGTTTTTCATCTGTAGGAGCCTTCATTTCCTCCCGGAAGCTGAGGCTCCTCGTTGGCGCCTGCCAGCTCCCCGATACCCTGGTCGCCGTAGCCGGCTCGTGTGCTCCGAGCTGCTGGGAGGAGTCGCCTGTGACCGGGGTGTCGCTAGGGGGGCTCTTCTCTCTCGTCACTGCCGGTGCTTCCATTGCCAGGGCGCTCAACCAGCAGAGGGTGCAGAAGCTGGAGGCGGAAGTGGACCAGTGGCAGGCCCGCATGCTGGTGGTGGACGCCCAGCACAACAGTGAGGTAGAGGCAGCGGGTGGGAATGATCACCTTGACGGGTGGTTTCCCTGGGATCTTTCTGTTTTGGAAAAATGGAGTAAAACAGTCAGGTAAATGTCCCTTCCATTCAGGTCTGAGTTTTGGACAGTGACATGTTCACAAATAGGAAGTGGGCCTGCAGTTTTACGGGAATCCTTTATTGGGAAACCAGGACCCAAATGATGCCGAGTTCTTTCTGCCTTATATGGTTCACTTTCTTTCCATTTATCAGCGTAAATGAATGCAGAAGTTAAAGGGCGTGGAGAATAACTTTACCCTCCAGCAGAAGTAGCTGAGCCCTCGCCGGCTTGGCTCATGGATAGAGCATCGGCCCACAGAAGGAATCATCATGGGTTCAGTTCCGGACAAGGGCACATACCCAGTTGCAGGCTCCATCCCCAGCCCTGGTCAGGGAGGCAATCAATCGATGCCTGTCTCTCACCTTGATGTTTCTCTCTCTGTCTCTCTCCCTCCCTTCCTCTCTCTCTAAAAATCAATGGAAATATATGCTCCGGTGAGGATTAACAAATGGGAAAAGGAGCTAGAGTGATTCCACTACTACAAGGCACATCCTCACGTGTGTTCTCCCAGGTGTGTGCACACCTGCAAATGTATCTACACATACGCACGTGTATAAAGTACACATGGATGTTTCATACAAATAAGCTTTTCCTGGATGATATACAGGAACAGTTGCTAGGTCTCTTCTCTACAGGCAGTGAGACCAGAAGGTGACAGGATCAGGAAGGGTAATTTAACGACTTTAAACTTAGGATAAAGCTCTTCAGTGACCAGCACCCTTCCCATTGCCTCCTAAGCGTCCCCGAAGCAATGTCCATTGTAAGTTCTCACGCATTCCAGGCACCTGGCATCTGCTGCTGATTCCAACGATGATTGTTTCAGCGGCACTTGATGTCGGGCAGGGAGTGGCTGTGCGGTGTCATGGCGGTTTGCATGTTACAGGGGAATGAAAACCCGCTCCTCTTCCAGGTGGAGCCCCTGCAGAAGGCTCTGGATGTAGCGAGAGAAGACAACAGGAAGCTGGCGATGAGCCTGGAGCAAGCGCTCCAGACAAACAACCACCTGCAAGCAAAGCTGGACCACATCCAAGACAGACTGGAATGCAAAGAACTGGAGCGACAGGATTTGGAAACCTGCAAGTAAGGGCAGTGCAGTCACAGCGACCGAGGGGCGTGCCCGGGGGAGCAGGCGGCTCACTCGCACGTTCACACCCGTCCTGCCTGAGCCGCACACCTGAGCAGCAGCGGGTACTAGCTGCCCGGGTCCCTCATGTCCAGCTCTGCCCTCGACGGGTATCGAGCTGCTTCTCCACACAGAGATGAAGCCAAAATGGCACGGATACTGGTTAGAGGGCCCCTTGCATGTCTCTGCCAACCCTTTTCTAAGGAAAGAGTATGTGTCCTTCAGAGCGTGACGGAAAAGGAGCGACCGGAGCCGGAGGGTGCTCCCGGCCGGGAGTGGGGTCTGTCCAGGCAGATGGGAATCAGTGTCCTCCGTTTCGGCCGAGGTGGTTAGGTCAGGCCCATCGCGTTCAGGCCAAGCCACTCGGGTTTTGTCTTAAACCAGTGGTTCTCACCCTTGGCTGCACATGAGAATCACCTGGGAATCTTTTTTAAAATCCTGATGTCTGGGCCTCATCCTCTGGAAATTCTGTTTCTTTGTTATGGGGTGGGGCCACAACATTTTACAATTTTTAATTATAAACCTGTGTTTTCTATCAAAATTACTTCTTGCGTGAATTCTGGGACACCCTTTAGATCTGCACTCCTTTCAGCTGGTGAGCATGTGGGCGTAGGCGATGGGTCTGAGCCACAGCAGGGAAGGCCCTTTCATATTGCGCAAGTGTTCTATTGGGGGTGGTGTTTGTTGGTTAAAACAAGTGTGTGTGTCCCGCGCTTTTGGCTGGGCCTCTTTATGCGGAAGGACTGTCTGCCTCAGGTAAGGCGTTCTTTCCCTCTTTAATGAGCTCAGGTCACTGAGACTCACTCCCCTCCTGCACTGAATTCTCACGGTGATTTCTCCTCTGTCCTTTTCAAAACAGAGAGCGCATAACTGAGGAATCGAAGGTGGAGGCGGAGCTGCACGCTGAGCACGTAGAAGCTCTGAGAAAGCAGTTTCAGACCGAGAGAGACAACGCCAAGAAAGCGAACCAGCGGGAGGTGGCCGAGGTACGGGCCGGGGCTGAGCCGTTCCTCCCGGGCCACGGGCGGGCCTTGAGGGGCGCAGCTCTTCTTCGGCTCTTTTAATCCCCTTGACGTCAGGCCGTCCCTGTGCTGTTTGTAAACTGACACAAAACCAGTTTCTATCAGTCTCTGCCAGCGAAGGGAGCTGGATGGGCCTTTCTCCACCAGCGAGTGCCAGCTGAGGGAGGGGAGTAAGGACGCTGCCCCCAGGGCCCACAGCCACTGTCTCCATCCACTCCCTCCTCAGGGCACATGGAGACGCAGGGAATCATGGTCCGTGCTCACGGACCCTGTTTAGTTGTGATCAACACTCCTACATGAGACAAATGGGAAACATCAGAGGCCTCTCCCGGTGGCTAGAGGCTGTGCGTACTAGTAAGTGTGAAGGATTTGACGTTAGGGGAGGTCTGGGTTACAGGCTGCCTGAGAGACAAGGGACGCTGGATTGAGACCAGCAGAGCTGACAGGTGCCGAGTGTAAGAGGGCGAGCAAAGCTTGGTGACACGTGAGCAGATGAGAAGGACATGTCTCTCTCGGTCCGAGCAGAGCCCGGGAAACGTCTGAGAAAGCGGCGTACACGGCCCGTGGTGGCCTGACCACCAGAACACTGGATGTGTCCAGGAGTGGAGCACAGGGTGGCGGCCTAAGCACAATTCTGGGAAGGCGGTCTGAGCGCTGGGAAGCAGGCAGGAAGGAAGAGAAGCTGGAGACAGAGGCGTAAGAGACTAGAGCAGTTACTCTGGGCTTTAGATGGTTAGGGCCAAGCAGAGTAGCTCTGTGGAAACAGCAGTTAAGTAAAAAAGCCACTTTCACAGAGAAATCAGACAGACACTGCGTGTTGTATCCTGAGCAAAGGGGAGGGAGGAATTAAAATAATTCTAAGACTTGGTTGGGGTAGTTGGTCTGTATTTTGCCAAATTCGGTGCACTGAGTAATTGCATTTTACTGAGGCCATTCACGAAATCGATTTCAACTGTTTATACAGCGCTCTGTAAATTGCAAAGCACTGTATAAATAATAAATGTTATAAAAAGAAAATTGTGTGGAAAATAAAAAGGTGCACTGACATTAAAGGCGCCTTAGTCAGGGATCGTTGTTCAGAACACGTCGGTCCTTTTAACCAGGATGGTGAACGTGGGAGACGGGGCGGACATGGAGTGACCGGGGAGCCGTTAGCCGGGGGCGGGCTGGGGCACTGCTCACCGTCCTAGCTCTGCCTCCTGTGAGCCGTGATCCACGTACTGTCCGTGCACATGCTAACTCAGAGTCAGTTCCCTGACCACTGCCCAGGTTTGTGGTGAGGGTTAAACTGGAAATACGTGGGAAGTCCTCGTCACGGTGCCTGGACACAGGAAGTGCTGAGGGCAGATGTTAGCTCACCCAGCGGTAGACAGGGCTGTGATGGATGTTGCAGGAAAGTCTGACAGGTGGTTGCTTGGGGGGCAGTAAAAGGTCAACATTGAGGCGTAGAGTTGGGATCTGAAGGCAGGAGCTCGTGCAGAGAGGAAAGGTGCAAGTAACGACTTCCCCGCCAGCCCCCGGGACGGCCCGGCCCAGCTTCTCCCTCCTCAGGTGCCTCTTCTTCCTGCACGTCCCGGGCACTGACTTAAGGGCACGTGAGGTGGGGGGGAATCTAAAATAATTAAGTAATTTTAAAAGTTCAACAGGCACAGTAAAAAGGTTGAGTTTATTGGAATGAAAATCGATGTGGATCGGGGCATCCAGTCTAGCAGACGAGAAGCTCCAAGGAGAGCATGAAAGGACTTTCCAGGCGGAAGGGAGCGGGAACCAGGAAGGTAGAGGCAGAAAGGGGTCGGTTCCTGCGAGGTCACTTCCGTTGGGGCCCGGCAGGCGGGTGGATTACAGGCCTAACTGGTGTCGGCCAGGTGGTTCCTGCGTTAGGCCCACCTTCTGGCAGAGCCAAAACTGGAACTACGTCGTGGTGCGGTGACAGCTTAGCAGACGTGACTCCATTTGGGGCCTGTTGACTGTTGAACAGTTCCCTCCTCTGATCAGACCCAGGCCTGACGGAGAGAGGTCTCCTGTTTAGTGCTGCTCCCTGCTGCAGCCTGTTGCAAAGCCCGTGGGTGACGCTCACAGGTCCGGACGTCTTTCCGGACGTCTTTCTGCCGAATCTCTGTGGCACTCACAGTCGTGACTTTGGGTTCGCGTTACCTAAGTTAGTCATTCTCCCCTTCCTTTCTGATGTCCGCGTCTCGGGGACATGTGCTCGGTGGTGAGCAGCTGTGGTCGTGCGTGTGAGCTCGGAGGGACTCCAGTGCCAGGGGGACTGCTGGGGCTGACAAGCAGGTGGTCCCGGTGTCGGGGCGCGTTTCTGAGCCGTGATCCTCGGGACCCAAGCCAGGGAGCATCGCTAAGTCAGAGAGAGACCCTCTTGGAGGAGTCGCTTCTCCGGCCAGCTGGTTGTGCAGCGATCTGTTGCTGAGCCGCGACTTCCCCAGAAGTGTCCATCCGAATGCAGCAATGGTGTTGGCCACAGCACAGCTTCCCGGTTGTCTGTCTAAAAGGTAGACAAGAGCTGTCCTACAGTCAAGAACAACCTTCACAGAGAGCCTGGGGACTTTAGCTGGAGTGCTGTTCTAGCAGAAGGTTCTGCTGTATCTGATCACAGCCTCCTCTGCCCTCGCTCCTGGTCAGCATAGGGATCTGCCGGTGGACGCTCGCTTTGGATCATGGATGGCTCCAGAGAAGTCCCCTTTGAGTCTGGGGCTCGGACCCAACGGGTGGCCTCCACGGAGACCAGTACGATTAACGGTCTGTAGACCACGCAGGTGGATTATTCTGGTACCTTTGCCTTGTGTCCTTTGGTACAGAACCTGAGGCGAGGTTCCCCAGGTTCGGATTTTTGACGTGGGGTTTGGAAATGACCCCCCCGCCCCTGTGGTTAGGAGTCTGACACAATAGAGAGGGCTGAGTGTGTTCCAGAGCTGCAGGGTCACGTCCACGCTGTGGCACGTCCACAGGTGTCGGGGGGTTGGGGTGCCCACTGGGCAGGGGCCTATCTCCGGGCCAGGGCAAGGCAAAAAGCGTACAGTCCCAAAGACCTGATGTCGTAGAAGTAGGAAATGGATGGTCAGAGGAGGAGGCGTGGGAGGAGAAGGTCTTGCTCTGGGGAGCAAGCAGGGTACCTCAATGTCAGCTCCTAGGCAGCTTGATTTTGAGATCCCCAGTGTGTGTCGACACAGGACCAGGGTCAGGGGAGCCCTTTGGCTGTGACACATGCACCGGGGTCCTGGCCATCATGTGACCTGGTCGTGACCCCTGAGCAGTGCCTGTGGCCAGGCCTGCGTGCCTTCTGTGCTTTGTCTTGTTGAGCTGCTGTATTGTCCTGTGAGGGCGGCTGTCACACACGTTTCCAGTGATGAGCCTGAGGCTTCTGGAAGTTAATTACCCAGAATCACTTGGCGAGTCAGTGGTGAGCTGATCCTTGAACATAGGTCTGACCCCAAAGCCATGCTCTTATAAGGGCCAATGTTGAACTTGCATTTAAATGGTTTATCTGTTCTAAGGAAGACGGTGTTCTTTAAATCACTTAGCGTGTTCCTCCACTGACCTACTTCATCAGACGCTGTTATTTAAAAGGCAGGTTCCAAGAGAACACAGTGTAGGGAGGAAGGTGAGCACCCGCCTCTTACTAAACGGAGGTCAGGATGTCACGTCCCTGCGTTCACAGCTGAAGAAAGCCCTGGACGACGCCAACTGCAGGTCCGTGGAGGTGTCGCGCACCAACCGGGAGCTGCGGCAGAAGCTCACGGAGCTGGAGAAGCTGCTGGCCGGCAGCAAGGAGAAGATCAAGAACCAGAAGGCCCAGATCAAGCTCCACGTGTCGGCCAAGGCGAATGCTGCTCAGAACGTGGAGAGGATGAAGGTTGTAGGAGAAACTGTCTCCCTCCTTCCTCGGTCCCTGTGACGAATGACCTGGGAGGGCAGCTTCAGGGCACTCCCAGCCCCGTGGCCCGAGTTACAGCTGGACCGGGAGGGCAGGTTGCCCTGGGGGACCGTCTCTTCCCGCCACGATCCTGCTGTGTGCATGTCACGTTCCAGCTCCCACCTCCCTTCACAGGGCCGGGACAGGGCTCTGCTGGGCGGGGCCAGTGGGCGGGGGGAGAGCCCAGGAGGCCTGGGGACTGAACTCACATGGGAGTCTTCCTGTCCTGTCGGCAAAGAGCCAGCCATCCACTGACCTCTGGGCTATCTCCGTTTCCTTTCAGCAAATAGAAACGGAACTGAGGCAAATGGAGCTGATTAAGGACCAGTACCAGAAGAAGAACTACGAGCAGGTAGATGATTTCTAGACTCTGTTTACCCTTCACATCAAACCCCAAACTTGGGCCCAACCGCCTGCCTGTCTGTGCCCCCAGTCGTTGAGCATCCAGAGATTTGTGTCTGAGATGACGAACCTGCAGAAGGAGATGCAGCTGCTGGCCAAGAGCCAGTACGAGACCTCGGCGCGGAACAAGCAGCAGGAGCTGCGCCTGGAGGCGGAGCGGAAACTGAGGCAGGAGCTGGAGCGCCGGTGCAAGGTAGGAGGTCAGACTCAGCCCAGGGTTATCAGCTGCACACGGCCGAGCCCCAGCGTCAGAGCACCGGGTTTCCTAGATCCCGCAGGAGAGAGGCTGACCGGTGGCTCGTCTTCCCTGAGTCCCAGGGTCACGGTGTCTAGGAAAAGCCTGGGCTTCAGCTACGGCACATGCTCCCGTTTCCAACTGAATAAAAATGACAGTCGCCTTTTCAGTGACAAGCTCTCCTGTGCAAAGGGCTAGGCACGCAGGAAGGTTTCTGAGCTGAAGGCCATGGTTGGCGGGGACGTGGCGCCGTGGCCCCTCCCCGTGGCCCGCTGATTCCAAGGCGGGAGCTTTTGGTTGATACGGTCCATCGGGACTTTGTAAAAATCTTTGTGTCCCGTTCTCAGGAATTGGAGGAAACGGTGAGACACCTGAAGAAATGTAAAGAGGTGACGGAGAGTAAACTGAAAGAAGCCAGTGTGGAATCAGAACAGGTAAGCAGGGCCCAGGCACAGCCACCTCGCAACACACCTTGAGTCAGCGTAGCCCTTCCTCACCCTAGTGAGGCGCACGGCAGGCAGGAGTGGAAACCACTTTTAGATTCAGATGCTGGGTCCTGAGGAGAGACTAGAGCGCTGAGGTCCAAGTCCCTCCCCTAGCGAGAAGGGAGGCCGGCAGGTGCGGGCTGAACACATCGCTGTGCCGAGTGAACTGACGAGGGGGAGCTGGTTCAGTCTCTACCGGGAGGTGGAAAGCAGGCCTCCTAGCTCGTGACCTGCTTCCTCTGTTCTAATATCTCCAGTTGGCTTTGGGAGGGATTTAAAGTCATACATTTTAGAGCTGGAAAGGATCTTTGAAATCATGAGTCTCCCACCTCCGCCCCTCTTTCCAGATGAGAGAACAGATTCTTAAGCTTAAGGTATCACGTGATGTTGCTTTCAGTTGGCCACGGTTTCCCCTTTTATAGCGTTAACTTAGATGGAATAAGAAAGAGACTGTGGCCTGCGACACGTCTGAGCGAATGCCAGCTGGGACCCCAGGGCCCAGGAGGTTGCCTCCGCTGCGAGCTCCCCAGGTCCGCCAGGTTAAGCCCATGCTGTTAGTGATAGACGGCTCCGAGTAAGTTTCACTCCATGTTAGCTGCCTTCTCGTTCGCCATGCAGGAGGAGACAGGATGCACAATGCCATTCCAAGCATCTTTCTTCCACTCCTGGTAGAAGTGCTGGAGAAAGGTGGGGTTCGGTTTGCTTTGGGGGGTGGGAGTGTCAGTATCACCGGGCTGCACGCAGACCTGGAAAATGCCTTAGCTTTGTGGCTTTCTCAGCGTTCATACGAGGGAGCTCTCTGTCCTGTACCCACTCGACCTGGCAGCACAGGACAAGGCCACCCACTGCTGAGGACCTGCTCCACGCAGGCGCCAGGCGGGGAGTGGAGGGGAACGAGCCAGAGCCTGTTCTCACGCACGTGCCTTCCCAGGCAAGAGAGACGGCCGCTCAGAGCTCAGCATCAGAAACGAAATGCTGCCCACGAAGCAGCCAAAGTGGGCACAGTCCTTTCACTCTTTACTCTAGAGGAGGTTCCGCACCCGTTCTGAAGCAGCCTTCTTGTAAAATACACCTCTCTTGGCTCTGCCTTCAAATTACCAAAGTGCCCCAGCTACTCAGAAAAGTGCCACGCATCTGTAAGCACTCAGCGAGCCTTTGTCAATAAGTGAATACTGGTTCCAGCTCATCTTCAGAGACAGACCATCCGAGGGACTGTTTGCTCTGACAAAGACAATGTGGACGTGTGTGCTTCTGAGCTCAAGTCTAAGCTATTTATGAGAAAGGAAATAAAAAAAATGCTACGTACAGTAAGCTGGTCCCATTTCCTTGTAATTCATTCTGTTACTTTCAGAAAGCACAACAGAAAAATCAGGCTTTACAGTTTAGGGACTTTGGGAGAACTATTTAGTCTTAAAAAATAAAAGTCTAAATTTCAAAACATGGCTTGACATTTTAATCTTGAGTGCCATCTTGTCCTGTCATTCTTCTCTCCCAGCTTCTGCCTTGCCTTCGTCCACAGGCAGGAGCCCTAGGCAGGGCGTGAAAGCCGCAGGCCCACCTGCGCTCTCTCCTCCACTTTGAAAGTGACCCTCCCACCTAGAGAAGGCGTGCGATGCACACAGGTGCCAGGACCCTCCATCAGCATTGGGGTCTCTTACTGCCTAGGTGAAAGGTCTCCCGAACTTATACACAAAGAACGTCTGTTGTTGTCACTTTAACAGTAACATTCATGTGTTCAGATAACAGCTAACCTGGAAGAGGCTCACCGCTGGTTTAAGTGCAGGTTCGACGGCCTACAGCTTGAGCTGACAAAAAACCGGCTGCAGAGGCTCCCCCAGGAGAGCAGGTGCTGGGAAGAGGTGGGCATCTCGGCGCGGCTGCCTCAGCAGTCCTTAGGGCTCTCAGCACAGTCTCGTCATCAGCTCCCCTCTCTCTCTCTCTCATCTGTGGCTTTCTCTAAACCACCGCAGGAAAAGCAGTGAGCTAAGCTTTCCTTAGCAGTCCCACCTCCCGCACTGTCCCGGTTAGCACCACCCTGAAGGATGAATACCCAGAGCAGGCCCAGGCCCAGGCCCGCCTGAGTGTGAGCAGTGCCGGGTGTGGTTTCTTCCCTCCAGGACCAAGACCAGAGGCATGACGCCATCTCCACCCAGTCTATCCTGCACCGGTGGGAGAACAAACAGAACCTCAGGCTGATGCCCAAGAAGTACCATCCTGAGCTGGAGAGGAAGTGACGCCCTGACCGCGGAGGAACTGCACCCACAGCCGTGCCGGGACCTGAGCCAGCGCCGGGCTGGCCTGCTGCCACCGCCCCGGACACGACGTCCACAGGGCTGAAGATTTGGACCTGAGTTTATCCCTTTATGAACTCTGATGATCAATACAAAACACCCATCTTTTTCTTTCCCCGTTTTCCACCCAATAAAGTTATATTAATTTGTGTATGATAATCGAGACTGTTGCTGTTTTTCTAAGTGCATTCTATCAAAAGCACTTAGCGAGGTTCTCTAGGCAGCTAGATGACAGGACACTGCTTCCGGGACTGTCCCAGCCTGACGTCCAGTCTCACATCTTGGAAATAGAATCACCTGGAAAGTGGTAAAAGCTACCACTGTGTTGTAGGGTGATTCCCAGGCACCTGCAGGGAGCCCAGTGTCTCTATGTCAGGGCTCAGCGTGTGAGTGCCCGGGAGGCTGTGGTGAAGGTGGTCAGTACAGCCATCCGCGGCTGCGGGAGGCTCTGTGCGCAGCATCCCGCTCCCCGGCAGGAGCAGTAAGCCCGCTCGCGCTCTGCTCCCAGCCGTGAACGGGGGAGCTAACCAGCCACGCACACAGGTGGCACAGGACCAGCTTAACTGCCGCTCAGGTCACAGCAGCTGCTGCTGCCACCATCGGGCCCAAGTCAAGGGCAGCGAGGCCACCGGAGAGAACGTCAGAGACAACTTGCAGGAGCTGTGAGCCCAGCAGGCAGATTGTCTGGTTCGGGACAAGCCGAGCTGCTGGCTGTGGTGGCCGAGCGTGCTGGTCAGCCAGTCTGCCTTGGTCAGAGCCGACCGCTGAGCCTGCGGAGCAGGGGGCGCCTTTCTCTGCCAAGGCCCACGTGGACCTTTATAACATCATTCCCGGGCCAGACACAATACCAGCCTGGAAATCAGCCTGCTCCAGGGGGTCAAACATTTCATTAACTCGCCCGATGCCTTGGCAGGGCCTAATGATGTCGGCCTTATACGGCCTGCGAGCCAGACGCTCCCACCCTTACGCAGGGTTTTGGGAAACGTGGATGTAAGGATGGGAAGACTTTTCAGAGAAAGGCTGAAGTGTCCCACATCCTCCGCAGGAGTGTAGCTACTTGGGTGAGACTCGTTGGCTAACTGGCTTTCAGAGCAAGTTCCCTGGAGCGTGTGGAACTCCCGAAGTGAGGGACTCTGGCGGGTGGGACGGTGCACGCTCACACTCCAAGGGGCCCGTGCTCACGCACAGGTTCCACGCTGGCTCTGATGGCTGCGAGTTCCCAGGCCGGCAGAACAGTCGTGTGCTGTCCATCTACTGGGAAGGTGGGAACAGTGTCTTCTGCGTGCCCCCTTGTGGTTAGGATGGTGGCTCTGAAGAAGCACGTAAGAATGAAAGGACATTAAACAACTATTGTATTCATCCAGGAACAATACCAAGTGTTAACGCTGGTGTGGACACCTCTCTTGTTAATTCCTTTGGCTAAAGAATTTAAACTGCCTTGTTGAATCTCCAAAACTGGGCCAGTTATTTAGCGCAGCGGCCGCCAACCGGTGGTCCGCAGACACTGGGGGTCCGTGAGGTCCGGAAGGTTGGCGACTGCCAATTGAGTGGCTCTTCCAAAGTGAGGGATCACATCTGTAGATCTCAAGTGGTCTAGCTCCTATGGGATTCGTCCCTTTAGACTTTTTGTAAGGAGATAGAGTTAACTGAAGGTTTGGGGGAGTCATCATCTGAAAACACCCAGAGATGGGAGTAAGATTGATGTTATTTAAGGGTACAAACTTGCAACTAGGAAATAAGCCACAGAAATGTAATGCGCAGTACAGTGAATACAGACGTGTTGTACGGCAGTCATCAAACTTGCTTAGAGGCTAAAAATTATTCCAACCACTAAAAAGAGGATAATTGTGCAAGGTGACATGGTAATAAGTGTGGCTACAATAACAATCATGTTACAATGTACAAATGTATTAAAAGATGGCGGTGGAGTTGGTGGATGCTACACTCACCTCCTGCCCAGGACCAAAGCGGAATTCCACCTGAATCACAGAACGAGCAACCGGGGCCAGCTGGACGGGAGACTCACAGCCAAGGGCTTACGAAGCAGGAGGCTCACAGCCAAGGGCTTGCAAAGGCGCCGCATTGAGACACAGGGTTGGCCCGAGCCCACGTGCTGCTGTGAGAGTCTGGAGGGATGTCTCAGCTGCACGGGTTCCCCTTGAGTGAGGGTCCCAACCCCCTGCCCTGCCCCCCAGCTCAGAGCCGAGAGAGAGAGAGAGAGAGAGAGAGAGAGAGAGAGCGAGAGAGCGAGTGAGAGCCACAGGAGGAGCCTGCCTAACCCCTTGTGGCTGTCTCTCCACCAGGAAGGCGGGAGCCTGCTGGAGACCCAGGCGCCTTCTTACAGGGCCAATGCACTGGCTCTTTCGTGCAGAGGGAGGGCTCTGAGCAGCTTAGAGTCGGGGAGAGACTGGGTCCTGTGGCTCGGGGACCGGGCAGAGGGTGCCAAGGTCCCTGTGCTCAGTGCCTCTCCACCCCACCCACACACCCCATCTTTCCTGGGGGGGCACTCCCTCCACAGGGCGTCTGCTGGGCGTCCTGCCTATTCTGGGAGGCTCTCGAGGAGGCCCAGGCGGACTGGGGGTCGCAGAGACTGTGACACTGCTCCGATGCAGTGCCCCCTCCACGTGGCCACATCCGGGCTGACTGAGCGGGTACACTGCCCGGCCTCCCCTGACGGCTCCCGGAGACCCTGCCCCACCACCGACGGCTGCAGGCCCCTCGGCCTCGGTGCACCGAGGCTGTTGCTGAGGGGCCTGAGACCCAGCAGCGCCGGTGCTGAGTCTGACTCGGTATCACCCTGGAGAACACGGCTCGCCCTGCCTGTCGCAGCTCCTGGACAGCGAGGCTCTTTCTGTGACAGCCTACGGGCGGCCTGCAGGCGGAGGCAGGGTTCCAGGGGCTGGGCCTTTTGCGACCAGCTCACAGGCTCGGTGCTGGGGGACGTGGCCGTGGCCATGGCAGGCCGTGTGGCCCCTCCCACATGCACCAGACCCAGCAGAGGCAGCCACCAGCTGTGTTTCACTTTGTAGCTCAAATAGGCAGGTCAGGGCCAGTCACAGGCAGTGGCTCACCTTGGCCCACACCAGAGTCCTCCCAAGAGGCCCCAGGAGCAGGCTTCAGACCACACCATCCCATGACCCACTAGCTCCACCAACGGCACCCCCAAAGGGAGACCTGGCGGGCACCCGGCCCTCACTGGGCGCATTTCACTTCATGTGGTCAGCACCTCCCACAGCAGCCCGGACGCTGTGGTCAGGGTCAGTCCTCATAGCCAGCCAGCCTGAGGGTCCACACCACCCAGGGACGAGATGAAGGAAAGACACAGGAGTCCAGGAAGCACAGAGCCTGGGACTCACGCCAGCAGGAGGCTCACTGACCCACACCAGGGACATTCCCGGAGCACCCAGCTCAGGTGGTCAGGGAGCCTGCGCCCACCGCTGAGCCCTGCAAGACAGCTACAACATAAGGCCACCTATCAAGACTGGGAGACATAGCAGGCTTCCGTAATACACAGAAGCCCAGAGAGACGGCCAAAATGCGAAGACAGAGAAACAGGCCCCAAATGAAAGGACAGGAGAAATCCCCAGAAAGAGGACTAAATGAAATGGAGGCAAGCAACCTACCAGATACTGAGTTCAAAGGTATGACCTGATACCAAAACCAGACAGAAACGCTTAAAAAAAGAAAATTATAGGCCAATATTCCTGATGAACATAGATGCAAATATCCTCAACAAAATACTAGCAAACCAAATCCAATAATACATTTAAAAGATCATACACCATAACCAAGTGGAATTTATTCTGGGGATGCAAGGTTGGTACAATATCCGCAAATCAATTGATGGGATACATCACGATAACAAAATGAAGGATTAAAAACCCCACAATCATATCAATAGATGCAGAAAAAGCATTGGACAAAATTCAACATGCTCTTATGGTAAAAACTCTCAGCAAAGTGGGGATGGAGGGAACATACCTCAACATAAGCCATATGTGGTTCAATCGGGGGAAAAGGAGACATATGTAATACTTTAAACAATAAAAAAAGCGCCATATATGGTTAACCCACAACTACATTATACTCAATGGTAAAGAGCTGAAAGCTTTTTCTTTAAGATCAGGAACAAAACAAGGATTTCCACTTTCACCACCACTTTTTTTTTTAATCCTCACCGGAAGATATGTTTCCATTGATTTTTAAAGAGTTGAAGGGAGGGGAAAGACAGAGCTGAAGAAACATCTACTCGAACCTGGTACCCTTCAGTCCCTGGGTCGATGCTCTATCCACTGAGCCAAACCAGCTAGGGCCACTTTCACCACTTTCATTCAACCGAGTAGTGGAAAATGAGGCTCCGTGACCTCAGCCAGGTGAGGCCTGCAGGTTCCCGATTTCTACTGCCTGATGCTCCACGCAGGTGCCCACACCTCTCCCCACCCCTTCCAGGCCACTCGGCCTCAGCAGCGCCAGGTGAGGCACTGGCTGACCCAGCTACCGCCCTGTGTGCTTTCTCTGACTCCGTAGCAGAGCCCATGTCCCTCCTCCCATTGGAACGAGTAAGAACACCAGGGTTTTTGCCTCGAGTTGCCTGAGGTTGGCCTGCAGAGCCAGCACAGGACTCCTCACCCACTGCCTTTACTTGTTTAATATATTTTTATTGATTTCAGAGGGAAGGGAGAGGGAGAGAGAAACATCAATGACGAGAGAGACTCATGATCGGCTGCCTCCTGCACGCCCCACACTGGGGATCCAGCCTGCAACCCGGGCACGTGCCCTGACCGGGAATCAAACCGGTTCATAGGTCGACGTGCAACCACTGAGACACACCGGCTGGGCTCCCCTCTCTTTAAAAACATACACGAGGATGCTCTCGACTTGCGCCAGAGACAGTGTCTGCCTTCGCCCTGAGCCTGAAACGCCCGTGCAAAGGAAGCCTCCGGCCGAGGGAAGCCTTCAGCAGCAAGCACACGGCCGGGACCCTCTGCGTGGCAAGTGGCACCCTCACAGCATCGCAAAGGAGGGCCTTGGAACTCCTCGGAGACTCCCGCTCGCTCTAGAGGTCCGTGCCCCCCTCCCCCCCCAGCACCATGTTCTGCCTCCAGACCAGCTCCTCGCCCCGCCCTCTGCTATTTCAGTGGCTCCTGTCTCTTCTCCAC